CCCTCCCCATCTTCTCTGGGGAGGAGAAAGGAATTTAGGGTAGCTCCACATTCATTCAATATAAAATGCACAAATCCACACTGTTGTTCACTACATTGTACATTTGTGTACACGCAGATAGCACTCTCAAAGAAAACACAGGAATGATCAGAGAGAGCAACATCAGTCACCACAACCTTGGAAATGTCCAGACCCTTGGAGATGACCAAGTCCAAAGTGTGCCCCTTATTGTGTGTGGGCCTCATGTTGAGTCAGTCTATAATTATCAAGAACACAAAACAGTTCTTTAGTACCTCTTTCCTGGGGTTTGTCAACATGGATGTTAAAATCACCAACAATAACCACACAGTCAAAGTCAATACAGATTATAGACAGCAGTTCACCAAAGTCATCAAAAAAGTTTGCACAGTATTTAGGGGGTCTGTAGATATTTAGAAAAATAGCTTGAGAAGAGGAATTCAGCTGAAGAGCCATATATTCAAAAGAAGCAACATCCCCAAAGACATCTTTTTGCATTGGAGGGGGTCATTAAACAAAATGGCAACTCCACCTCCTCTCTTATGCACTCTAGCTTCACTCATAAAACTGAAGTTGGGAGGGGTAGACTTGATAAGGACAGCTGCACCGTTATCTTGGTCCAACCAAGTTTCAGTTAAAAACATGAAATTAAGATTGTGAGTGATTATAAAATCATTGATTAAAAATGTTTTTCCTGCCAAAGACCTAACGTTTAACAAAGCAAATTTTAGTGTGTTTAGTGCTGACGAGGAATTAATACTAAATTTGCAGGATATGTTGAGTGCTTCCTGTTTCTTAACACATTCACCATGCTTTTTCTGTTACCTGTCAAGACAGGGATGGAGAAGACTACCAGCACACTGTGCCCCAGCTTGTCCTGGGAAGAGTCATGAGTGCTATTTTCCTTGTAGCCTGGACCCAGCACATATCAGACAGAGCTTACTGGGCTTTTTCGCCATTGTGGAGCGGGACGGCGGGTAGTGCTCTGTATTTATGACACGTGTCAAACCTGGAGGACTTAGAACCAGTGGTGGAGGTGGACGGTGAGGGGGGTTTAGGGTAGAGAAAATGGGAGTGGAGCGAGGGAAAAATTTGGCCCCACTCTAACAAGGTCTTCCATGTGATCAGTGAAGTCCAACAGGGGGGAGAGGAGAGAAATGGTGTCTGAAGGTGGGGATTGAGGGGGTAGAGATGTTGAATCCTCACTGTTGATTTTCAGTGAGAGAGGTGGAGACTCTTCCTCTTGGCTCAGATGTCTCCCGTGATCAGAGCTCTCTTCCAGTGGGGGTTGGAGTGGCTCTCCTTCAAGGTTTCTGGTGTGTTGTGTTATGTCTTTTTCTTGTTTTGATTCCTCTTGTTTCTTGTTCTTGGCAGAGGGAACAGATGAGTGACGCAGAAAGTAAAACAGGTTGGAGCTAAACAATTTTATTCCTGACTTGTTAAGGCGAAGTCCATCTGCCTTAAAAAGATGTCTGCGGTCCCACAGAAAGTAAAAGTTTTTGACGAAATGCACTGAATGGACAGTACATGCCGTTGAGAGACACGTGTTCAATGCTATCAATCTGCTGAATCTCTCAGCTCCTCTTCGAATTGGCGGTATAGGGCCACCGATAAACACCTCAGCATTCAAAGAGCTGACCGTGTTCAAGAGATTATTAAAGTCCTCTTTCAACGCTTCAGACTGTTGCTTCACAACATCATTGGCCCCGATGTGCAGTATGATGTTTTCTCAGTAGGATGTTCAGCCACGATATGCAGGATTCTTTCTGCCAAGTCAGACACCGTATCCTTCGGAAAACAGATTATTTTGGTGTTCTTACTGCACATGCTTCCTACATCGTTTACAGCAGAGTCACCCACAATCAGAGTTTGAGGCCCAGTCGTTAGCTTTCCCTGCAGGCTTTTACTTTCTGATGTACTCTCAGTCCTTACCCTTCTGTGTGAGGATGGGATGTTATCCAGGTCATCAGACGGAGATCCAGGGACCTGCAGTAGTGCTGTCTGCTATTGCACACTCGGTTGTTGGGGAGGTTTGTTGCTAACTCTCCCTTTTGCAACTGTCCTACCAAGAACAGGGGTTGAAGAGGCGCTCTGCCTGGATGATAATGCAGGCCAGCCAATCGCATCACAAATCTCAGGGCGCTGGGTTCTGCCTGTTACTTTTCCTCCCATTTCCCCAGGAAATTATTTACTCTTAGGCTTTGCACCAAGAGCGTTCCAGGGAGGACTCACACTTTTATATTTATTACCCAGTACACAGGCCTCCTGCTTCTTGGTAGTCTTGTTGGTGCTAATTAGCCGTGTGTTAGCATGCTCTTGTCCACTGTTTTGGGTCCACGGTAAAGTGGTGTCTGTCCCACATAATCCATTCGCTTCCACATTCACTTCTAACTTGTGGATCTTGGTTTCCAGCACAGTAATTTTCTATAGAAGTTTGTAGAAGTCATTCGTGGAGAAGGGGATCTTGTTGCTAATTAGCATTAGCTATAGCTCCAGTCACTGCAGTACAGGCTAGTGCTATTGATAGGCCGCACTCGCGTAGCACTAAGATCATAAAAGGTTTTAAAGTATGGCAAGAGCCTACTTTATCTGACAGTCCCAGTGATTTAAAAGCATCCAAGAGCTGCTGATTTCTAGCAGGGAAAAAAAGAGAGTTTAAGCAAAAGAATGCAAGCAGAGGCAAGAGCAAGCAGCAAAGCAGAGCAATAAACAACCTGTAGCGGCTAAATAAAGGGCATAGTCACTACACTATCTACATATGTACATAACCGCGGGCCCCCCTTTCGATGGATGTCACCATGTTGCACCGTTATGTTTCTACAGTAGCTGAAAACGGACAAACAATGCTATAGAACGCATTTCGTCTTGTTCTACTTCTGGTAGAATTCAGGCAGTGAAGACACTCATCACTACACTGAATATGTACAGAAGGAGAAGGAGGAGAAGAAAAATTAATACAGCAGAGGTTGGCAAATAAGTTTCAAAGCACAAGGCACTTTCTGTTGGCTCTGGGGCATTGCGGGGTATATCTGCCTGTTGATATTTCAAATTCTTTCTAATTGACTGTTGATCGTACATTGACTTCCTGTTAGCGTAGTACAATGAACTGTGATGCTAAAAACTCATTTCAGGAGAATTTAACTCAACAAAGTTACAAAAAACTGAAACATTCGATACCGCTAAAGGTACAGTTTCAGATTTGCTTGCAGTTGATAGTGTTTACCCTTTGTCAACAATGTCGGAGAAATGATAAATGCCACTTAGATAATCAGTTTGCATTAAGTTTTTAATTAACAAATGTAATAAAAACAAAATTTTTACATAATGTAACGTGCAAAATCTGATTCTCCAATATTTGGTACTGTATACAGCTTAGCAACTGGTCATTTTCATGTGTAATTGCACATATACACACATAAAAATATCAGCCAGTGAAGGCTTCATTGTAAAAACATTGTTGAATCACCAACAATATATTCACACCAAAGACAATGACATCATAATGCAATAATGAAAAAACACACGTCTGCCATTTGCTGGCATCATTATGAGTGACAGGAGAGGACAAAAACATTGTTTCTTTGCGGATCTTGTCTTGTCAGAAAACATAACACATAAATGTAAATATGTAGTGACACACACAAGGTAAATAATTATCATCCTTCATAAGGGCCCATCTACCTACTCTGAGTCTAAAATAATAGCATGGTTAATAAAAGGTTCTTCTTTAGTTCCTGAACTATTAAAACGTAAATAGACTCCAAACACAACATTTGTATAAAGCATGCCAACTACAGATGAAAGCCAGGCACTGGTTGAATTGATTTGGTACATTGATTTCTCTTAATGCTTCTAACTGCAAAAGTGCCTCTGATTTGTACACCATTCTAGCGATTCAAATATTGATTTTACACCCTGGACACAGAGTCAATGTACTTGCCTGCAATTAAGTAACTTGTAGGACAGAAACCAAGCAGTGCCATGGTTACAAAACAAACACAAATGTATTACACGTAACATTTCAATCAAAACAAAACATGATTTTGCTTGTTTATTTCAGAGCCTATGACTAATGTGAAAGCAGTCTGAAGGCTGTACAATAGTCACCACCCTCCACCACTCCTCCTTCACCTGGAGTGAGTTGATACAAAAGTAAGGATGATCATAATATTCTTGTCTTCACTCAGTTTCCTCAGAGGATGGTCAGGCCCAGCACACCAACAGTGATCAGCAGAGCTATAGCGAAGGATGGGAGAACAGACAGTTTTTTTTTATGGACAAACCTGGCACTTTTTGGATAACTTTGTTCTCTTATGAGAACAGCCCTACCTCTTATGCTTACCTTGCATCAGTGATTGCTGCAGTGCAATGCCAGCGGTAGCGGAAGATGGAAGCAGATTGTTGACAGTGGAGTTAGGGTTTGACAGGTCTACAAGACCACTCCTAAATTGAAGGGCAGGCTTTCCCAGAACTCCATTCGCTGAGAGGGCAAGCAAAAGACAAAAATATTGCTAATGTTATTAGCACATTATAAAACATTAATATAATGTCTTTGCTTGTCTTTGTGACAGTCTTAGTTGACTGATGAAAGTGCACATGATGTGTGAGGGAATGTGTTAGCTTACTGCTGTCGAAAGTTCCATTGGAGATTACGAGTACTAAATTTGTTGCTTTAGTAGTTGGGGTTGGTACGGTGGCAGCAAATGTACACTGGATTGTGGTTCCATCGAGCCTGCCCTTCACAGAGTTCACGTTCAGCTACAGAGCAAAGACAGATGACAAAGGAGAAGTGTGTTAACATATAAATATATACATTTATATGTGTATCATTGTACAAGGTTATTTGAAAGGCCATTGATGTGTGCTATGCATGCAGCCAAATCTCATTCATTACAATTTTTTGAAAGGTGGTCTCCAACAGACCAATAAATCGTCCTCACCCAGCTCTACTCCCACCACTAGCTGAGTCAAGTACAACTCACCGTTGTTGGAATCAGTGTGCCGTTGTTGAGGAAAGTGCTGAAGAATTGAACAGCACTGCCGTTCTTAGCACAGACGTAGGTTGTGACGTTACCTGCCTGTGGTGCAAAACCAGAAATGTTTAGTATAACCTGTTTACCTAAATGAATTCAAAGTGTATGTTGTGATTGGCTCTGGGTTTGACTTTTATCTTTTAGTGGCAGAGCTCGACATACCAGTGTGGTGTCAGGTGCCAGGGAGGCAGCGATGTAGCCTGCTGACCGTCCTGAAAGCCCCAACATAAAGTTTTGACCACTCTGCTGCTGAGCAGAAAGAAAGAAACAAGATCCAGAGGAGGGGTCGCAGTTAGAGGGCTGAGCCGCGCAGAGCTGTTGGGCCCCACAGCCTGTCCTACTAAGAGGTGTCTGCAAGAGAGACGAGAAACATGGGAAGGAAATGTGCATTTAGATTATGTTCAACAATATTAATAAAAGTGACTTTATGTTATCCTGTTCTGTTCTACTCTATTCCACTATGATATTGTTTTTATTGGTATTATTTACCTGAAGGGCAGTCACTGTGGTGTTGGGCGTCAGTGGGGGAGCTGTTGTTGTTGCCGTTGGGGCCGCGGTTGTTGTTGCCGTTGGGGCTGCGGTTGTTGTCGTCGCTCCGGCCGCGGCCGCGGTACTTGTCGTCGCTCCGGCCGCGGCCGCGGTACTTGTCGGCGCTCCGGCCGCGGTTGTTGTTGCCGTTGGGGCTCCGGCCGCGGCCGCGGTAGTTGTCGTCGCTCCGGTACTTGTCGTCGCTCCGGCCGCGGCCGTGGTAGTTGTCGTCGCTCCGGTACTTGTCGTCGCTCCGGCCGCGGCCGCGGTAGTTGTCGTCGCTCCGGTACTTGTCGTCGCTCCGGCCGCGGCCGCGGTAGTTGTCGTCGCTCCGGTACTTGTCGTCGCTCCGGCCGCGGCCGCGGTAGTTGTCGTCGCTCCGGTACTTGTCGTCGCTCCGGCCGCGGCCGCGGTTGTTGTCGTAGCTGGTGCCGCGGTGGTTATCGTCGTCGTAGGGGCCGCGGTTGTCGTAGTTTGAGCATAGCCCACAGATATCCAGGACAGCGTCACTAACAGGACAGCGAAGATCAGTCTGTTGTCCATACCTGGAGTGAGTAGGGTAAAATTTCATTTAATTAATATAAGGGGACACTTAGTTGTGTGGGAACAGCATTTGTATCAGGTGAGCTCTGAAATATGTTAATAAATATTTTAATAAGAAATAGAGGCCTATTATATCTGTTTTAATTTTTTACCAGATTATGTAAAATTGTTTCCCAATATCTGTGTTTTCTGTTTTTTATATTGTTTTACAATTTAAGAACATTTTGTCATCAAAAGGAGTGTCTAAACATGTGGTGGATGAATAACATTTTAACAATTCATTAAGAAATTTGTCAAAAGGTTCTCTGATCTGTGAACCGTGCCGGTCCCTCTCTCTATAGATACACAAATGACTTTTTTCTCCACATTCTACTGACATAAGTGGTGCAAAAGTCAGAGAGTGCAGAACTTGTCATTTGTGAGTGAAAACTTGTAGCAGCAGATTCAATTAGTTGTAGTTAGTGCCACTCCCATGTGCGAGAACCCAGTTGTAAATATCCACCACTTCTTATATATGTGCAAAGCTTCATGGACTTTCATGCACATTTAGGCTGCCAAAATGCTATTCATTTGGACAAAGAAAAATTATAATTCTTTGCATTTCATTAGGGTCCTTGCTCCTGTTGGTGCACAGCTCCTAAATATTCCAAATTTAATGAATATCAGTGAATTTGATGTAACACAACATTGCACTATTTTTTTTTATCAAAGCAGGTGCTTCAATAGTTCTAAAACAAAACACCCCATTCTTTTGTTAAATAAATACTTCACATCTGAGCATCACATTATAATGTTCCAAAAGTCACTGTGTGTAGTAGCTGTCAATACAGAGAGAAGAGCACACAAGCAAACAATAATTTAATACTGAAGACATATTTGTGTTTTCATTAACACATGAAAGCACATGCCCAATATGTATTTAACCTACTGTGTTTTTAGTGAATGCTGTTAACCATAAAACCTCAAATTTAGAATATAAATGTTAAATAATGTCAAATAAGATTATATTTATCAATAACTACTGACATATTTTAGTTTATATCACTTAAATGCTCATAATTATCAATTACTTATTTCCTTATATTTTTTTTTATTAATTGCTCTTGATAATTCACATAACTGAAATTGCTTTAAGAAATGGCAAAGAACAAATATTTACATGTCAAAAATAAACCAAATGGGAGTCATAGAGATATGTATATTCCATTAATTACACATACACCTACTGGTATTAATCCAGAAGAAATTTATGAATAGATATATTGACTAGCAAATAGTTTTAGCTTACCTGTAGATCTTCTTGTCTTCAGTTCAGTGAGGGTGAAATTGGGCAGCAAAGTTTCTTGAAATGAAGATCCTGTGTAGTTGTATTCTCAGGCTTGGCTTACAGGTGGACTGCTGGTACTTCTGATGTTCTTAACAGGATCCCAGGTAAAGATGTGACACCTGATCACTCTGTGTCACTATTTAAGCAGAGGGGTAGGGAAGAGTCAAGGTATCAGAGCCCAAAAACTCCCAACTTCTCTGACATCATCAATGTTTGTAGAGGGCGGGGTGGGGTGCATGTGATGGAAACCACATATTGCCAGACAATAATAAATGGATAGTTCCCTGAGTGCTCGTAACTCACCTGACTGACTTGATACAGACAAAGAAACAAACACTATTTTTACTGAGTCGCACCACTGGTGACAAAACGCCAAGAATTGGTTTCCCAGTGGCAGTGCAAGTTCTTGTGTTTGCCTCAATATCTCTGTAGTGTTCTGTGGTTTCTTGTAAACATTTACCCCTAGAATGTATTAAGCAGGCAAATCTGAACTCCATCTGTGATAATGGACAGTGGTTATTATTCATTCATTCAAGGTCTGCACATTGCAGAAGTGTTATCACAGGAGAGGACTTTCATCAAAGATTTCTCTCTGCCAATGCCCGTGATAAGAAGGCGGTAAAGGATACCCTAAAATGTTATGTATTAGGAAATTATCTCTTCTGCAATGATTGTAATGATCAAAGGAAAAAAACTACTCGAAGTGGAGTAAGTTCAGATTTAGGATCTAATACAATCCAGGAAACAAATGAATTACTAGCAAATAAAATCAAATTATTTGACTTTTTATAACTTCTTGATAGTCAAAACAAACAAAAAAGTAGTTTTTAAATCTGTAATTTTACTTTTACTTAAGTATGTTTGGTTTAAAGTATTGTACTTCGCTACAGTTTCAATCACATCTGTTACTGTCCTGGCTCTTGAGCACCGGCCGGTTCGGCCTGAAATGGACCGGCCATTCTGGAATGTTCCCATAATTCCCGATGGCCAACCCGCCCCTGGGCGCAGCTGCATAATACCATCGAAACCGGTTGATTATTTTATCATGCCAATTAGAGTTACAATTACAATTACAGATTTTAACTATAACTCCTGAGGGAAGTGCCTCCTATGCTGCAGTCTGACAGCATTTTCTAGTTCATAACAGTAGGTCTATGAAGTAAAGCCTGTCTAGATTTATTATTATGTATTTAGGCCAACCATGTTTTTTTAGGAGCCTGTTCACACTGATATAAGCTAATGAAATCATATAATTTTTGAAAGTTGAAAATATTAAACAGTAATATGGCAATTATTTTTACGTCCCCCACAGTGTCTGCTTCAAACAATTCGTGCCTTGGAACACTAGTTGGGGACCCCTGATGTAGTCGTCAGTTAAATAATAGCTTGCTTCCAGTGGTAGTTAAAAATAAGTTTTCATAATTTAGTAAGATGCTTTGCTCCAAATAGCCAAAAAAGATTGGTGCTTATTATACTAACGCATATAATATCCCATTAAAATGACCACCTGTTTGAATGTAAATAGGGATATGACTTCATATGAAGTCCTGTGTTTCCCGTTTTCCTAGTCCAACTGAACTGTGAATGATGCAAAGGAGTGCGATTTAATTAGATAAGTATAATACATATAAACAAGATATTAAATCAGTATAAATGAGTTATTTCAGGAGGTTAAAAAAGTAACAAAGTAACTTTTAGTCTGAGTAAATGAGTAAAAGTTAGCTTTTGAGCAAAGCTAGTTTTTACTTTAATGGAGTAGATTTTTATACTAGTAATTTTACTTGTACTTAAGTAAATGTTCATCAAAGTAATCATACTTTTTTACTTATGTAGAATGTATGTATGAATGTACATGTATTTTTGTAGTCTTTCCACCTCTGATGACACGATTAACTTAAATAAAGGCTTTAGGACGATGCAACCCTCATTTCAAGTTGAACAACTATTTCCTGATCACTGTCCAAACTTGGTAAAACACACGAAGCACATGAAAACATGATGCGTGCAATTACTGAGAGCACTGCTGTTTGCGGACAGAGTTTTGGGCGATACCATTTAGGAAAAGGGTATGAGATTGAGTTTCCGGTAGGTGAAATATGGTTAAGCGCATTTACGCCTAACTTCATATCAAAATTTCCTGACACGGCGAAATTATCAGTCAGGATCTAATGTTAATTAATGTTCTTTGTTTTTCTACACATCCAAACGGTCTCACTCACAGTACAGGTTCGGAGTAAAACAGCAGTCCTCCTGATCAATCGTGAGTTCCAGCAGAGCATCTAAACATATTTCAGAAGCTTAAAGGTGATTTCTGTTTCCTCTGGAGAGATACCTATGGCTTTCCAGTCTAGTTTATAACTACAGTTTTGATGGTTAAATGTCTGACATAACTGCGTTAAAGAAAACACTGACACACTAGTACAACACACACTACAGATATCATCTGGAAAGTTAATAGGAGCGGTAGGGGTAGGTTACATTTGAGAAAACAATTAGTTTGGTGGAAGGCGGGTTGATGATTTATGCGCACATCTGAATTCTGAAACCTTGAGATAATGTCAAGGCTGAGCGCATCATCAAATCAGCTGCTATAAACAGAGCAAACAGTTGCTGATGTCAAATTATTAGGCTGTAATATTAACCAGAGCATCCTCTACATTCAGCATTACTTTGCTGTATTTCATGTTGTAGGGTAATGTCCTGTACCAGGAGGAACGCAGGTCCCACTGTACCAGCCTAAGGTCTGACAATGATGACCAAGAAGCCGGTGCAGAGTGGAGCTTACTTTGTGTTGAAAAGTGGTGGGGACATCAGGGCTCATATAAGGGGCGTGATGATACATTTGGGTCATGAGACATGATGATGCACGAGAACAAGACAAGAAGATTTTTAGCACCATTTAGATTAAATATTTGATGTTGAAATATATGTACCGTGGACCAGTTTGGGTCAGACAGCAGTGTAGAGCTGTGTGCTCGTGTTTACTCTCAGAGGAGGGAGGGTGTTTCCCTAAGTGTTTCCCTAAGTTAAGTGTTCAGTCTTGTGTTTTCAGTTAAATCTTACATGCTTGCTTTTACTTTTAAGCAAGTAGTTTTCTGTTGCTTTTCTCATTTTACATTTACTAATTTTCCCAGTAATTAGTAGTGTAACAGATTCCACTTCACCAGCTTCAGCAGATGTAATAGGCACTGTTACTGTGCCACACACTACATTCACCCCAAGCGGAGCACGGTCCCAAATGCTGCCCCCAGTCCCCAGCCTCTATGGTGCCAACTCTGAAATAGATGCATAGACAGTTCCTGGTAAATATACGGTTTTTGCAGAACACTGCTTCTTTAAACCAACCCAACACCTAGCCCAACACACTCAGAATTTTTTCTTGCTGTATTTTTTTGACAATGACAGAGGGTAGTTTGCTGTAGCTTTCAGCTTTAACACCATCATATGGAAGCATTAGGGCGACAAGTCCTAGTTATCTGTAGTGTATAGGCAAAACCAAAACATGAATACACTGGCTGTTGGCATGTTGAGATGATGTGTGTTTCAAAAGGTTCTGTTCATAACAACAAGGGTGCCGGGGCATAGACAAAAACCTCCTGTTTTCTCTAGTGGTCAACCAAAATGGATTTTTCAATGGCCGATGCAGATATTTAGAAAGCGTGGCGGAAAATCATTTATAATTCCATTATTTCATGCAGAGTATAATCTAACATATCATACCAGTAACATGTTGTTATATGTTAATAATTTGTTTATTAATGAATGAAAGACACTGCTGTTTAAGGGACAGTGGGGTACCGTTTACCAGAATTAACATAATTCAACTGAATTATTCTCTACAGTATAATGACATATATATTTAATGCTGAATCGTTTTAGATTGGGTTTGATGTCATTTAGGATGATATTGCCTTGTAAGAGCAGATATAGGCCGATTATCTCAAAATGCCAGATATTGGCCTATTTAATTGGCTGACAGATAAATGGGTCTATCATTAGTGTTCTCCAGTTCACTTATCCACAGCAATCTTCCTAAATGGATCTGCTACAGGTGCCTCCGGCGTAGGAATGTATTTATAGTTCAGCATCAGAATTTACTCATTGACAGCACTTCCCTTTCCTATACACACATAAAGCATTGTGCTTCTTTCTTCCTGGGATTCCCCTCCTATTGCCCCATTATTCTGACAGCAAAAAAATAATAATACTTAATATCTTCAACCAGGCAGCATGTGTGTGTGTTTTAGATGTTCGTATTAAAAGTGTAACTTTATAATTAAAAATCCATCGTAGTCAGTGAATTCTGTAATAGTTTGATGGATATCACTGAAACACTGAGGTGATACACAGCCAGGGAGAGCTGCTCGTTTCCACTGAGCTAGAATATACCACTATCTATTTTATTTTCATTTTTAAATGTTGATTAAAAAAGTCAGTGTATTAATAAAATTGCATTAGTGCCCATTAAACTTGTGATACGCCAGGCGTTGTGTAAAGGTATACTTAGCCAAGGATTTGTGATCTGTAACATAGCACTTTTCAACAGAATACTTTGTGACCTTGCAGAAATGTGAGATCTGAGATCAGATCTTGTTGCTCAAGACTGTTTTCAAGAATAGTGAATACGCAAAAATCCAGCTCTGCTTGTTCATCTGGATCACTCATTGTGCTACACTGTTTTGTGTTTGTCCTCAAGAGTTACAGTAATTAGCAGGTAGTAGCCTTCAGGCATTTCATCTTGTTTCTGTTTCTATCACACAATCAGTTCCACACCCATTTCTGTTTCTGGCACCTATCAGACTTATGGTTTACACAAAATCTGGCAGGCATGTTGGAATGCGATTCATGCATTGACGCAAATAAATGCGAAAACCACCAAAGATGTCTATGTTTTATTGTTAGTATAGTTTTGAACATTACTTCATCCATACAGACAAAAATCACATCCATAAATCTGTAGGGGACAGCGGAGTGAGTGGTGTCTTTAAACTGAGGACATGACAGTAAGGTCTCCAACTAAAATATGCACATATTTTGGTTGACATCAATGTCATTTCATCATGCAAACTCAAACGCCAGGTCTCAACATTTAATTGCATTTAGTAGTGAAACCTTGCAGCTATGTCTCCTGGTTGTTTCATGTCAATGTATTGCTTTAGAATGTAATGTAAAATTACAGTCAAATATCTGGCTCAACTTCCCCCAGGTCTCAAATTACCCCATCCCTGCCATTTTAACAGATTTGTGTCATTCCACCACATTTATGTTAAGGACTAGTTAGGTTTTTACTTATACACAGCAAGGGTCAACATAGTTTTGGGGGCTGTGACCATCAAATTTGGATGATGAAAAAAAAAATAAAAAAAACTGAGCTCCATCTGTATGGTAGGCCGTATTTAAAGTTTTCTAAAGATACTTTATTTTATCAAAGCATATTACTTAAAGCATAGGAGCATTCATTTAACCGTATCCTTGAAGATTTTTAGAAGATACCTTTGTGTAGTAGAACAAAGATTATTCAAATGGACAAAATTTGGCAAAGCACTGGTGTGGCAACGCCAAACAAGCTGGAGCAGATTCTTTCTGCACTACACATACAAGGTGTAAAAGGTACCATCCTGATCACATGCTCACACATGCAGGTGTACTATGCCTTCAACTGGCAAATACTTTTTACAAGCAACATATTTAAAGAGTTTTAATAATGACATTATAAAGCATATTTCATAAAAAGCTAAATACCAATATACTGAATATCTTGCTGGCAAAATATTCCTCCTAAAAAAAAAAAGTATTTTAAGTTTTAGAAGACCCTCTAATTGCATAGCCTATTTTTCCTCATGTAACTAATATAATGTACTAGAGATGTCAACAGACAGCTCTTTTCTTCCTCTCACTGATTATGATACAGTGTCACCACATCAGTGTTATGCCACAATTTCAGCCACATATGACAAAAATGCACAACGTTTTGTGTAAGTTGTTTGAAAAAACAAATAGTGATTACCATGAAGACACCCATCACATTTGTGTCGAGAGCTGGAGACTGGAAAAAACCCTGGCATAGCTGCATTCCCAGTGCTTTTTTTTACTGTTAACATGTAAGAATGTTCTTCCTCCCTGGGTGTTTGCCAGAAGGAGACAAATTACAGGTCTAAGCATAAAAAGCTAACTTGAGTTCAGTAAATTGCTGCGTCACTTTAGAAGAAACTATAAATACTGTCAGTGCGGGGTTGTGTAACCCATGGAAGCACGATTAACATTAACATCTTAGACAACCACTAGCGGTATATTTACACGTTAGAATTTGTGCCGATTATTATTTATTTATTATTATTTTAGGCTAAAAGCCTGACTGAATTCTAAAAACACATTTACATTAAATTCTCAAAATCAGCATTAAGACATTTTTTTTCTTTTGCCACTACCAAGAACTCTTGTCATAAGGGTTTACACTGGGCCAATGTTAATAATTAAAATTACAGGTTCAGCCAGTAGGTGTGTAAAGCTAAACTATTGTACCATTGAAAAACTACAATACCAATTATCTGCCAATGACGCCACTGCAGTCTGGAGAGGCTCCCCAAGATCCCTATTACATCAATGACTCTTGCCTGGCCAACAGGTTGAACCAGTTTAACTGTCATTTTCAGTGCCAATGGGACAGTCCTGACACCAAACCCTGTGATTCCACCTGTTCCACCTCCCTTTCCATGTCAGAGATCAACAACATCAACAACCTATTCAGGAGGCAGTGATTAAGTGACGTTTATTGAGTAATAAATACGTGTGTATTTGTATGACTTTTAACACTATTAATTATTTAATTAGTCCTGAATCAAGTCTGCTTAATGTGAAAGAATAGCTTTTATCTCTTTTATCTTCACCACACTAGATTGTCATCGTCCTTTATATGGCCAGAGAAACAACTTCAGTGGGTGCCGACATTGCTGTGGTTCTGCTGGATGTGTACGTTAATGTAAACTGTATACTATACTCTAGCTATGGAAGATAACATCTTGTTAATGACATAATCTTTAAAGGAAGTGATTATTGAGTTTATTTTAAGAAACAATACACTTACTTTAACAATGTACATATGCCTACTGTAGAGCAATGGAGTAATAGTCATTTTAAAGAGTTGAACTCCACCTTTTGACTCTGCTTTATGATATGATCAATGTAGTGCTGAGTAATATTATATAGTCACTTACACAAAGTTAATGCCTAACAAGCCGTACTGCTGAACAAAATTCTTCCCTCATCATTATCTGACAAGTTCAAGAAGCGTGAAGGTAATACTCATATTGTTGATGTATCAAGATGTCGCAATATTTGGTGCTATCTCAAGATATGAGGCTGATCTTTGAAAGTCTCACTGACAGGACACACAAAGAAAAATGGCCTAAAGGATGACACAGTGGCCAAAATATGATCAAATTCAGGGATTTTATTGAAGCTAGTAAAGGTTTATTATGAAAGGAAGGACAGAAACAGGCGCTGTATTTTCACAGTGCACTGGCCCTCTGGAGAGTGAGGGTTTAGAGGTCACAGTAGATTCGCCATAATCCCTGAGGGTCAAATTGTGTTGTAGCAAGTAGCCACTAACTTATAACCATCAATTCAAAAATTAGACATGCATAGGACTCTTGCGCCATGACAAATGTGGGATAATCACCATTTCAACAGTGAAATCTAAAGTACTTTATTTAAGACAAGGAAGTTAATCAAATACATAAGTGGACATCAGGTGTGGTATGTTTAGGCGTCAGTGGAATCAGTAGTGTAAAGAGGGATGATGTAATGTGGTAGTGTATAGAGAACAAAAGAGATTAAGACTGCTGTCGTCAAATGGATGGCATGACCATGAGTAACAGGTTAACTAGCTTTTATAGTGTACTCGGGTTGCGGTGGAGATGAGCAGTGGATAAGACACATGCCTTTGGTGTGAGAGACCAATGTGTCCCTGAGCAAGACACTTATCCCCGAGCTGCTCTGGTGTGCAACCTCTGACATAAATAGAAATTGTAAGTCACTTTGGATAAAAGCGTCATTTAAATGAATAAATGTAAATGAAATGTATAGGCTGGGAAAACCGGTCCCAGGTCTTAGGGGGAAAAAAGTAGTTTGGGGAAGTATTGTTTCCAGTTTTAACAATAGTTTAAAAAGTATTCAGATATTTTACTTAGTAAGTAAAAATAGTAATATCACACAGAGAAAATGCTCCACTACTACGTAAAAGTCCTGCAATCAAAACCTTACTTAAGTAAAAGAATGTAAGCATTATCAGCAAAATGTACTTAAAAGTACCAAAAGTAAAAGTACTCATAGTGACAGTTCCTGTCAGTGCTTTACCAATACGATGTTTTCGGATTAATAATACAGTGTCATACTTAGCATCAGTTTACATAACTAAAACAAACAATTTACATAAAACACACGAGGTATGTGGCAAACAAGAATGATGGAGGTTAAGAGGAATGACTTGTTGTAACGGTCGTTATTACTGATAAGCTAAAGGAGTCTCTGACTGAAGATACTTTGTTGTCTGACCAGTAGTTCGGGCAGAGGATGTGAAGTATAATCCATAATTTAAAAAATTATGCAACAGGATTAATATTCCTGCGTGCATGCATGTGTATGTTGCTTTTTACTGCTGTGGATGTTTTAACTCTGTAACACAGCAATACAGTAATGCATCATATTCTGTAAGGTCATCATTTGTTTGCAGCATCGCTGTCCTTTGAGAACCACATCATCTCTAAAGTCAATTTTTCAGAAACTCAGAAAAACAGCCCTGATGCCAGCTGATCTAAAGTCAGTAAAAAAAAATTATTTAGATTAAGAAGTAGGATCAACCCTTAAAGCAACACTTCATTCAATTTCTAATTCCAAATCATCATATTTGGAGATACATGGTTTTCACTGGACAGGAAAGGTATGAAAGATTGTAATGTAAAAAGTAAGTAGTAATTAAAGCACATCAGACAAATGTAGTGGAATAGAAACTACAATATTTGTCTCTGAGATGTACTTAGTTACATTCCAGCACCGGTTCAATGTACATGTGGGTAATTAAGTATTGTTTTAAGATAGACTTTAATAAATGTGAATGTTGGCACAACTTAATTCATTTGTTCAGTGTGTTGGGTTTGTGTAAAGTAATGTCTTCATCGTGATCTCACTGAGTTACACCTCATTCAGAATAATCCACAACAGGTGTGTGGTGCCTTTTTTGCCCACCTGGTGCATGCTTCATGCTGAAATGGTGATGAGCACAGAGGAATTCAAGTGAAGCCAGACAGACGGGCTTGTCATCTTGTTTATTGTTCTTCATGCGCACACCAGTGCATCACACACTGAGCACAAGGTGATCACGCCTCATCCACGCCTGAGTTCTATGCTTAATCCAATGCTTTATTATTGTATGAGTAAGCAAAAATGCTTTCCTTCCTCCCTATTGGTCTGTTGGGTATGACTGCCTTTCACAACTGAGACAGCAGATTAAAATGGCTAAATATAAATATTTAATATGACTACAAAATAGAAATATTGAAAGAAAAAGTTATAATTAATTGATTCTAAACTACAATGCCACTTATGCTGAAACTAGTTTCTGGGATTAGGATTGAGAAAGTGAGGCTTTGGTTTTGTTTCATAACCCCAGTATCCTTCATTTTTTAAGCTCAACAAGTTTCTTCAGATCAGACTTCAACAGCTCCCCCTCCTCTACCTCCACCTCTATACCATCCATGGTTTTCTGCACCTGCTCCTTGATGCGGTTCAGTTCCAGCAGCCCATTCTGCAGGTCCTTGCAAACTTCTCGGATCTTAGCAGCAAACTCTGTCTTTGCGCCCTTTTTGAGTTCCATGGAATCCTTCGCCAGGAAAAAGACATCAAGAGCCAGGAAGAGACCTGACATAAGTCCAGTGGTAACACTCATTACCTGGGCGGCTTTGGCAGCACCACCTGCAACATTGAGTACCTGAATGGTACTAATCAGGCTCTCGGTGTTGATCACTAAAGCCTTGCCCGCCCGGCCGCCCTCCTTCATTACATGTTTGACATTCTGGTTGAGGTGCTTCTTTGAGATGCTCTCAGCGTACTTCTCAAAGTTCCATTCCTCAAGTGTCTCCATCCCTTCCTGGCGGATAGATAACGAATCGGAGATTTGACATTAGGATTACACAATTTTTGAAATCCAAAATATTTCTCAAACCTGTCAATGTGCAATGACAACATTTAGCTTTAGGATCGTATTCTATTTATAGATTGTTTCGCATTTGTTTTCAGAACTTTGACATTTCTCTGTCAAATAGAGTATGCGGCATTCAGACCAAACGCAAATTTAATCCACGCAACGCTTTCCTCACAGGGTTTTATCGCTGGAGTGTTCACACACAACGTGATGACGCGAATAAACACAACTTGCCATTTCCACAGCTGTATGAAACCAAAGTAAACCTTTTGCTGTGATTAATTAGCAATAAATGGATCAAACTGATGCCGAAATAACTACAATATGAAGCTGATTTGTTAAACATATGAATTCATGCTTTGTCAGGTCTGTCAGCAAGACAGCAGGACAAATACTTCTAAAATGTTTGTTTTCTGAATGGAGTTTTGATCGATCTGGGCTATGCTATGCTACCTTGGTCACAGTAAAGTACAATGATAGCTGGAATAAAATTACATACACATGTTTTTGAACTCACCAGGTAGTTCAACCTCCTCGCTTTCTTTTCTCCCAGCAATGTCCAGCAGGAAATCGTAGCTCTACGCGTCTTTGCATTAACTTTGTATGTAAACTCACCGCCCCGAACGCTCGCTTCGCTTTTGGTCTGAAAGCACCATAACTTGGATTTTCAAACCACTGTTTCAAGACATTCAAATTCTGTGCAATGCTCAGCATTCAAGTATTAAATCTGCCTTTGCAGGTCACAGTGTATTTGTGGATCGCTTCATGTCTACAAATCATTATGACACTGTTTTACCACAAAGAGTGTGAATTCGATCCAGGGCTTGCTATGTGATGTCACATATCCTCAATACACGTTTCAGAATAAGAAATCAATCGATTTGTCTTTACAATAGGTAAAATATATTTGTGACTCAGTCTGTGAATATACAAGGATATGACATCAATTTACCCTCTACAACTATTTTTCACACTTAAAGTTTAAAGGACATGAGTAAAATGATCATTAGGTCAGCAATAAGTTTTCAAGCTTTACATGCAACTGAGACAAACTGGCTGAAAACCTGTCTTCTGTCTTCACACCTGCAAAAACTCCAGGCACTCCTTGATGTCCTTCATCTCCTCCTGGTAGTCTTGGATCATCTTCTCCACCTTCTTGCGGTCCATTTTTGAATGGACTGTGTCTGTGATGTTGGCTGAAGCAGATGCCACCCCACCTGCCGTAGCTATACCAATGCCTACAGCTGTAACGATGAGCGACGTTCCTGCAGTGAAGGGCGCCAGAATGAGGCCGGTGATCGTAGTGATGGATCCTGCAACACTGGCCACTCCACCACCGACACTGGTTGTGACTGTTTTCTTATGGAAAATGTCAGCTGTATCAGCCAGATCGAGCAGCTCCAGGATACGCTGCTGGAGTGAGACGCCACGCTGGTTGAAAAAGTGAACAAAAAGACGAGCCGCCATGAAGACACGATCAGCGACCTGTTCCACCACTCTGAGACAGGGAAAACATGTTGAGGGAGAAACACTGAAAAGGAGCTGAATAAGTGAATTTCAGAATTAGTTATTTTTTGTAAAGGTTAGTTTTTTGTGGACTTACTTGTAAAGGATTAGCAGAAAAAAATATTTTGTATGGTAGAAATATCACTGTAAATATTGTGTTACCAAACTCATTTATCAAACTCATTTTAAGCATGGTCCTGTGATACAGTTTATAAATTGTTTTTAAAAAGTTATTAGATGTTTTTATGTTGATACTGGCCAGTGCTACTCTAAAGCTTTAAAACAAACCAAAAAAAACTACTAGCAAATTGATAACTTCAGTAGATGTGCTACTTACTCTTCATCATTCTGGTTTGCCTCAGTCCACTCATCCCAGTCTGACACACAGAAAAGAAACAAATACAACTTTAAAGTTCCAGCTGCAGTACACAAGATCCCCAATAAATCAAACAAAATCAACAAGCAACAAAATCTTGCCAGTTTTAAGCATACCCTCTACGGTTCTCCACCACGCTAAAAGGCCTTCCTCATCCTGAAAGTGAACAATTTTAAAGTCATTGGAATAATTCTGTAATGTAAATGTTCTGTACAGCGCCTTTCTAGTCTTTGCAACCACTCAAAGCACTTTTACACTACATCTCATTCAGCATTCACCATTGCCACCAGGGGCTATTTGGGGTTCAGTATCTTCAGTATCTCAACATGCAGCCTGGAGGAGCCAGGGATTGAACCGCCGATCTTCCGATTATCGGGCAACTCGCTCTAACCCACAGCCACCTCTCTGTATGTACAGGGAAATTAAATCACACTGATAATATTATAAGAAACTATAAAAATGAGCTTACATCTAGAGGGTCCAGGACTGTTCCTTTGCTGGGAACTGGTACTTCAGCCATCTCTAGCATCTCAACTTCCATTGCTTCCTGTAACAGAAAAATACGGCACACTGTACACCCATATTTGGACAACATTTCATAAGCGCTGTGAAATGCTACCAATTACACACCATCGTAAAATCCTGTTTTGCTGCCATGCAATGGCTGACAAATTCCACCTTGCTGCATCTTTTGTTCCCATTTCAAGAAAGCAAGGACTGCAAGTACAATTAACTGGCTACCATTAGGGGTGACCCCGAATAGTCGAGGTTTCGATTATTCAATGGGCAGAGCCTGATTCGACTCCCAATAATCTTCATAGAGACGTTCTGAAATGAGGATCATGCCGTTTTAGCTTTATGGGGGGTGCATTACGTCTAATTTTACTCCCATTAAGTTAATATACAGCCTATTATGATATAAACATCAACATATAATGCTGCAAAAACATATTAGGTCTACATGTTAGGTTAGCTACAGTGCTACAAAGATGTCATCTATGAGATAGAATATTTGCCAGTCAAGAAATTAGGTTTCTTTAGATACAGTAGATATATTAAGAAATTACATTAACTAAATTATTCAGTAAAACCATGTTTTTTTTTTATATTAATGTTACTTATTAATAAACAACAGCCACATCAAGAAATGAAGTGCTACATGATGTCTCATACTCCTGTAATACAGTATTTTACAGCTTGGGAGGGTTGGCTCATCTGGACTAACATACCAAGTAAATGAAGAACATCTCAAAAACTATCACATCTAGTGCATCAAATATGACCACTGACCGATAACAGGACAATTTAAGCCTCTCTGTTTCTGCACCACAGTCCATTATAAACAACATAATACATGAAGTTTACAAATGCATTGGCTGGTGAGGCTTCTCTCACATTGCTTAGTTAACTAGAAAAGCAATCTGCAAATCTTACCAAAATGTCTTTTTTATTTTTTAGTAGTATTGACAGCCATAATTTCAGCTTGTAGTAAAACGGTGCAACATTTTTAATGGGCATTTAGCATGTGAAAGTACAAATTACACATTTGTGTGCACAGTGGCGAAGCAATATCCATAATAATAATAATTAATGAATAATAATATAATGCAAATTCGGAAAGTATTCATTATTGGTCACTTGATAGGCACATGGTCTTGTTATATATCACCATTAGCAGTAAAATACATGTTTTCCACCAGGGCAGTAAAATGTGAAGTATAGCTGCTGATCTGAGCTTCCCTGCTGTTACCGTTTTATTGCCAATTAGTGATCAGCTGATTGTCTCACAAAGGTAACAAAACCAAAACAGAGCTCTGGATAGAGAGATTAATTACATGAAATTAATCCAACTACATATTTTACACCACAAGCCAAAGCACAGCGTTTGAGAATAAACCAATCCAGCTAACCTTACATGATTTTTCTACCAGGGCAGTAAAAGTTTAGCTGGCTGATGCTTCCATGCTCTAAGCTAACGTTAGGGTTTTATTGCCAATTAACGTTACTGATCAGCTGATTGCTAATGTAACCGGCAAAGCCAAAGCACAGGCTGGAGAATAAGTAGGCGACAGGAAATTAATCCAACTACATATTTTACACCACTGACAGGGGAAACATATCACGGCTCTCAGTGATTATGGACAGCTTCTAGGTAAAGCTATCAAAGAACAGCTTTCATTTGCACCGCTAAAGTCTGATAAACTTTAGTTAATTACCTGTCCAGCAGAAAACAGACAACTTCAGCACTGGTTTGAAAACATCTGTCCCACATTATAGCCTTCCATGTGGGAAAATCCACATTCTGATTTCTGCCATCATCTGTCTGCATCTGTCGCTACTTCATCTGGCTTCATGCTATAAAGATCCACAGGCTTCTAATAAACCATAAGACTACTCAGAGACTGCATATTGTTGTCATTATTATTTCCTCTTCTTCTTCTTTGTACATATTGAATGTAGTGACGGGCGTCTACACCGCTGGAATTATACAAGCACAAGAAGGATGGCATGATGAGGTAAGGCGCTCTGTAGCACTGTTTGTCCGTTGTCGGCTACGGTAGAAACATGACGACAAAATACGGTGACCTCCATAGAAGGGGGTGCCCGCGGTTATGTAGATAAAAATGTCTCATTCTAAGGTAATAAAAACATAACGGTTCATTATGTAAGGTCTTTATACACCACTGAAAACATAGTTATAGATCTTATATTGCATTTCTGTCAATAGATCCTCAGAAATATTACACACTGAACCTTTAAAGTGCGTGAATAAATCCAAAATTGTAACCCTAACCCTTAAGATAAGGGGTGTCAGTGCGCACGTGTGGTGTAGCCTGTGTGTGATAGAAGAAGCAGAGAGTCAGAGCACCAGCAGTGCTGAGTCTATCACCATTGTTGAATCACACAAAGAATATTGTATCATTTTTAAACAGTACTTGGAATAGACCTGCAAGGAACAGCGACGTGCATGTAGATTGTCGGCACGTTGGCGGATTTACACATCTCTGCGCAAGGCGAGCAGAGCAGAGAGAATGTGCAGTGTAAGTTACAGTGACTAATGAATAGAGACTGCAGCTCTGCAGCTTCTCAAGATAAAAGCTCAGCTACCATGTGTAGATAGAAATAGCTCATTCTAAGGTAATAACAACATAACGGTTCTAGCGCTGAATAGTAGAAGATTCGATGGGTGGAGCCTGATTTGACTGTCAATCTCACCGTTAAATATTCGCAGCGAAATGAGGATCGTGCCATTTTTGCGATATGGGGTTGCTCAATGTCTGATTTTACAAAGAACTACTGGTTTATTACCAATTACTTACAGTTAATATACACCCTAATTTTGATATAAATATCAATATAATCCTGTAAATAAAAATGTGAAAAGAAAAAATTATTTTTTCAAAGTGCATGAATAAATCCAATATTTTAACCCTAACCCTTAAGGAAGGGGGCGTCCTCTGTGTACAGTCTATGGTGTGGTCAGGCAGAGAGACAGCGCACAAGCTTCACCGGTGTTGTGCCGGAAATGCACATTGTAAGTTACATCAGAGACTAGTGAATACAGACTGCAGCTCTGCAGCTTCTCAAGATTAAAGCGGATCTATCGTGTGTACACCCTACAACACTCAACCCCCTGGTCCCCCAAGCTTCGCACAAACACACATAGGCAACACTTGACAAATCTGATTTGACTATGTAAATTCTTAGTCGAGGACGGCCCTTAATGGTTCATTATGTAAGGTCTTTATCCACCACTGAAAACATAGTTATGTATATTATATTGCATTTCTGTCAATAGATCCTCATAAATATTACACACTGAACCTTTAAGTTTGAGCTATATTTAACTACTTCATATACGGTTTAGTAGTTCTACAGAAATGCATCATATTCTAAAAGATCATCATATTTTTACACTTTTTGAGCATGTTATTTTAAAGAAAACATGTATATTAAATGATAAATAGTATATCGTGGTATAAGCTTACACTATTGAGATATTATTTATAAGCCATTTCACCGAGCCCAAACTCTACAACTGGTATGAAATTAATGATAAATATTGATCAAATTAGTGCTGTTTTTTTGTATTGATGTTGGAAATGCCTGTTATGGTAGTTGTTTAAGTTAATGTAATATTAAATGATGATCTGTCATGTTTAGCAGAATACATATCAATCTGACTTGCTTGATTTATGGTCACACTTTGTAACACAGTTGTGAGTTGACTTAGCTGACTTGAGTTATGAGTGAGTTGTGTTATTGTTGAAGCATGATGCTGGAGACAAAGCACTCTTATTGATGGACTGTCACAAAGTAAAGTGCAAAGCAAAGTGGATTTAATATAAAGTTAAAAAAAACAGGGTGTTGTCCTTCGGGTTCTTCAAAGTTACCCAGGCTGTTTTTCAAGTTTGGGCGGGAGTGGAACACAACCTTGTATAACTTTACAAAATCTGGTTCCACTAAACAGTGACTTCACAATAGAGTTTACCCACAGAGAGTCCACGGGTTTTTGTTTCGCGTGGTTTTAAAAAGTAAAATGCCTCAAGCTACTAGAAGCAGGTTGGAACTGCAGCCTCAATCCACCAAGATGTTTAAGCCGGAATGAGGAATTTTCAAATGCATATTTAAATGTGGTTTATTCATGTGTGTGTAATTACTATTAATAACATTATACATTATAACATATTGTGAGGTGTTGGATTTCTTGCAATTTAACAGATGTCTGTCTTTTTTTTATTATTTTTCACCTGTAATGAAAGTACCTGGGGAATCAAATGTTAATTTAGAATCATAACTTCCTTACATACATGCCTCTTTTGATCAGAAAGCTTTATGAGCTGTGTCTCCATTTTGGATCAATGGAAACAAAATCTTGAAATGTATCACTTCATGTATTAAATTCACCTGCACACATAAGTGGAATTACACTACTTACGTACTAGTATGAGCTTGTGTGTCATGACACTGTAGGTGGCCAAGTGTGCTGTTGTGTTGTTAGTTTTACAAGTAAAGGACATTAGTGGGCATGTTTTTACAATATGTACTCGCTTGCTTCTTATTTCACCGTTACATTTATAGTAGTGCTGGGCAACATTTAAAATCCCGATAATCCCGATTAATCGCATTGTTATGCACAAAATTGAATAATGAATTCTAAAGTAGTTTATTGTGCACTTTTAATTTAAATGTACTGCTATATACACAAAAGTGCAATAACGTGGTTTGGAACCAAATAAGGTGCTTTTTACCAGCAGTATTCCCTTTACACAGTAGCAATAAAATATTTCTTGTAAATCTCAATTTAAACATTAATGTAATCAAATCAAATATTAAACCAAAGCTATTTGCCACTGCCAGGGCCTTCCCTTTTATCTAGCTTGTTAAAACAAGTTACCATCAGAGTCCAGTTTTCTTGGGTCTTTTTCTGAACAGATATCAGCAGAAACATTGTTTTTTTTTTTTTTTCCAGAGAGCGGCATAAACGGTCTGTTCAGTAGCAAGTTTCCCTATTAACATGCCCAGGCCTAATTTATAGCCTACTTCATTCGCCACCTTATTTAAGTTTTCACTCACTTATTGAATCTGCCTCATTTTCGTTCTGTGCTCTTTCCCCTACACTCACAGACCTAACGTCCCTCTGTCCTCTCCTTCTTTCCATTTCCCTCTCTCCCTGTATATACGTGACTTTCTCCATCAGTACCAGGCTACGTTAGATAAAGTCAGAAAAAAAAAATCAGAACTCGTCTTCTGGACTTTTCCACCCGGGGTTCCGTTCTCAGCAGCAGCTGCGTCGCATGTTGAGGAGGCGTCTTGACTACGTACTGTAGCTTTTCAAAACAAACCCAAAGTGTTAACAAATGCTAACAAATGACATCTGTGTGTTTCTCTCTGTCTACAGAATCCGGACCTGATGTGGCCCATTCTGTGTTCAGACACAAACTGCCGTGGTTATTTTGTTCCTCTCTCTGTGCTGGAGTTCTTTTAAGAACTTGATGGTTTTATCCAGATTATTATTAAATTGGTTGAATTTTAATAATAGTGTGTTTATTCATCTAATGTTCAAGCTTATTACTTCAATATATTCCCAGCAAATCTGATGTTAATATAATAGATAACATATAATACAAACTGTTGACAGCTAACTAACCAGACATTGTGTTGATCGACAAACAGCAAAAGAAGGCTGCAGTGATAGATGTGGTAATCCCAAGCGACAGCAACATCAAGAAGAAGGAACACGAGAAGCTTGAGAAATACCAAGGGCTGAAAGAGGAGCTAGAAAAGATGTGGAAAGTAGGAGCAACAGTGGTGCCAGTGGTAATCGGAGCACTGGGGGCTGTGACCCCCAAACTGGGAGAGTGGCTACAGCAGATACCAGGTAAATCAGAGGTCTCTGACCAGAAGATACTGCGCAGAACCGTCAAACTCCCAGGCCTCTGGTAGAGGACCCGAGCTTGAGGATGAGACACATACCACTCCGCAAGGGGTAATTTGATATGAGCAAAGATTGTGAAAATGGACAGATTTAGCTCGAGTAGCAGCGATTGCATATTGACAACATATTTGTGTGTCATTTAAGCTCTGAGTTGCCATGTGATAAATGGATGCACTTGCCAAAAGGAAATAAAGAGAGACGTGGGAAACTACACAATGGAAAAACAAGAAGCTGCTCTGTCATGTTGAGGTTAAGATAGGGCACAATATAACCCAACAAAAGGGCTCTTACTTGAATAAAAATAAGTAACTAAATTCTATCCCCTATCCACACAGCCTTTATAAAAATATTGCACTGCCCAGTTTATGGAATCAGCCTTGTCGTGCTGAGTAAAGTTTTATTTGTAGTTTCATAATGTCACTGCGAACTGATGTGAATGAGAATGTGTGCGCTTGATAAGCACCAACTTTAATTTGCACTGTGGGGAAAAACAGCTGTAATGCGGCTCAGCTGTACTCACTTGGACATTAACTATACTGCACTTTGATTTGGGGTCAATTTATTACTGCACCAAAACTGTATTGAGTCTATGATTGCTTTGTTGGTTGTATTTATTTTTATGCTTTTAAAATTGTTCCTATGTTGTTGTTCTTTATTATTTACTTTACCTTATGTAAAGCACTAAACTGATTGTGCTTTATGCATAAAGCTGCCTTGCCTACTCACCTAGGGCAGTGTCTGAGTATCACATGAGTAGTGTGGAGCAAAAAAATAAATCAATTCTAAGAAAAACTGGAAATTTAAAATAATTGAAGGGAACAAAACTGCACTATAGAAAAAAACGTTCCATTTTTTTACCCAGGCAGGGTACATTTTTGGGTTGTATCCCCATGTTTGAATGCACTTATTGTAAGACACTTTGGTTAAAGTGTCATAAATCATTTTTAAATGTATAACCGTGAAAAAAATGAAACAAGGCAAAATTGTGACTTCCAATGTAGAAAATGTCATTTAAAAATTTTTTTACTACAATGTAATGGAAAGAATATAAATAATAATACAGCATTTTATGGCTAAATAAATGAGTCCCCTCGAAAATGCTACATGTTTATGGGTACTTCTGTTCGTGACCCAAACAATACACTGCATGTGACTACAAACTAGGTGCAGGATAGGGACAGTTTTGCATTTATTGGGTTAAAAGTTTTATTACATGTTTATTCACTGGGATGTTTCCTTATGACTAATAACAATAACAATCCAGGAAGGGTGAACAATGAACGTCATACACTTCTCACATTACAGATACTTAGAATTTTTCTGGCTAGACAGCATCCTTTCATTGGACAAAAAGTCAGCCACTGTTAACAGCTGTCCGTACCAGCTAGAGATCACATTTGGCTCATTAGATTCAAGGCAAAAACCTTCATCTAGGTATCTAGATTTATTTCAGAAATTGGGAAAAACAAACAGCATTTTTAAAAACAAATCATTCAAGAAACTGAGGAGATGCACTTAAGGTCATACATGTCTCTCTGTGGTGCTGTCATGCAAGCTTTCATAGCTGGCGGAGTGTTCACTGTGAATAGCTGTGTTTTTCTAATAAGAGTTTTAAAAAATGGGTGGGTGGAAAACAAAAGTTACAAGCAGCTGTTAAGAAAAAAACATTGGTTTCTTGTGAGTTAATTATTGACATCCGCAGAACAAATGATACTGATAACATAATTTGTAATGAGGGATTGTGTTTGTGGCTTAAGTTACCAACACACACCATACATCCGGATCACCTCTCAAATGACCCCCACTTACTAAAACTGAGTAAAACATCCTCATTCCTTCAAAAAATAAACATTTTACTGTAACCCATACCTGTGTCTTGAATGAGGAAGCATTACTGGGAACATCTTTGTTTGAGTTTGTTCGATAACCCTCATCGAGAATCTATATCACAACAAAACCTGCCCATCCAGTTGGTGTAGAAAATAATGCCAACCCAGGAAAAAATGAGAACACAAAGTCCCTCTTACATGTTAAGTAAACTTAACATGCAATTGCAAAATCTGAAGTTGAAGTGGTTATCTTCTGCACAGTAACCTTCCTGTGTGTAAGCCCTAAAATGGGTTTAATTTCTGCACCAGCCCCCTGACCATCAAAGGCTCAAAGATCCATCCATCCATCGTCAACCACTTATCCTGCGTACAGGGTCGCGGGGGGGCTGAAGCCAATCCCTGCTGACATTGGGCGAAAGGCAGGGTACAACCTGGACATCGCAGGGCCACACATAGACAGACAACTCACACTGACATTCACGCCTAAGGACAATTTCGAAGACACCAATTAACCTACATGTCTTTGGATGGTGGTCACACAGAAAGGTCGGGGCAACCGGGGTTTGAACACACAACCTTCTTGCTGTGAGGCGACAGTGCTAACCACTGCACCAGAGTGCCGCCCATGGGTTCAAAGATCTTTACAAAAAAATGCACAAATACAGAAAAAACAAGTATATATTCGTTACATTCTGTTATTTATGACACAGTAGATGTTTTAGAAAAACAATCTCACCCTATCTATGCTGGGTATATTCAGGAGGTGGACAAAAAACTAACTAAAAGAGCCAAGTTGCTTTCTTTGGCACCATCTAGTGGTAGTAGCAAGGATAACACTGGTAGGAATCAATGCATGCTGCTACTTTCTACATACTGGAGGATTATTGACAAATTTACTATTTTATGAGAGTCATTATGGTTTATGTTTTCTCTGTGTGCAGCTATAAAAATACTATTGCTACACATAGGTAGTTGACATGCATAAAGTGTGTTACTTTGTTTTTGCCCAACACCTACATGATCAGTTTTTTAACAAAGCCTTCTGGGGTCTGCTTTTTGACAAAGTGATAAATTGCGTGGACCTACCTGCTTCTCTGGCAAGTTGTTACTGTCTGCTAAGCTTCCATTGCTGAAGGAGAGGTCACTGTGCAGAGGCCCAGTATCCTGGACAAACAAGATGCAAGACAGAGACACAAACTGAGGATGTGAAGAAGGGGGCATCCTTGGTGAGATAATAATGTCCAGTGTCATCAGTTTTACAACTGGTACCTTTGGCTGTGAGGATTTAAATGGGTTGACTTTCTGCATCATCCCTGCAATCATCCCTGAGTTCTAAATAATAAACACATTAATTGGACAACTGAAGCATAACAAATTGAAATAATCACAATGCCATATCAACAAGCTGAAAATTTTACCTGTGTGTCTTTAAGTTCTTTCCCTGTTTCTGGTGGACCTGCAGAATCATTTTGAAGATCGCTCTTTGGCACCTGCAGGGGAAAAAATAAGATACTCAAAATAAAGCAATCTAATATTTTGCACTGTAAACTCCAAATCTTTAATATATCAAGCTAAGAATTGAAAATTGGACAAATGAGAAATACAGAATTAATTAGCTTTTCACCATTCACATTTGAATTCCTTTTTCATTATTTTGAGATTAAACTAAACTCAAGGTAGTAGCAAAGTGACAGTTAAATATATGTCATCAATTCTGTAGTTACCAGGGAGGTAAACCTGAAGGGGTTGACCTTCTGCAAGACTCCTTTCAGCATCCAAGGTTTCTGGAATACAAGTTTCAGATATTTCATGAACTGATGCATTCAATTTTGAATTCAAGTCCTATAGTCCTGCTCCTTTAACTTGTAGCTTTATTAAAGGAATTTACAGCTGACTGAAGGCAGTTATCACCTAGTGTGAAAAAAGCAAACAAAAATAAATACATCCATACTGTGGCTTATTTGGAACAACTACAGCCCCGTTTAAAACTTGTCGTTTCAAGTCTTGTATCCAGATAAAATTCGGATGACATTTTTATTTATACTTAGCCACATACACTCACCGGCCACTATATTAGGTACACCTTGCTAGTACTGGGTTGGACCCCCTTTTGCCTTCAGAACTGCCTTAATTCTTCATGGCATACTTTCAACAAGGTGTTGGAAACATTCCTCAGAGACTTTGGTCCATATTGACATGACGCATCACGGAGTCCATGATATGAATCTCTCGTTCCACCACGTCTCAAAGGTGCTCTATTGGATTGAGATCTGGTGACTGTGGAGGCCGTTGGAGTTCAGTGAACTCATTGTCACGTTCAAGAAACCAGTTTGAGATAATTTGAGCTTTGTGACATGGTGCATGATCCTGCTGAAAGTAGCCATAAGAAGATGGGTACACTGTGGTCATAAAGGGACGGATATCGTCAGCAACAATACTCAGGTAGGCTGTCAAGTTAAAACAATGCTCAGTTGGTATTAAGGGGTCCAAAGTGTGCCAAGAAAACACCCCCACACCATTACACCACCACCAGCAGCCTGAACCGTTCATACAAGGCAGGATGGATCCATGCTTTCATGTTGTTTACGCCAAATTCTGACCCTACCGTCTGAATGTTGCAGATGAAATCGAGACTCCTCAGACCAGGCAACGTCTTTCCAATCTTCTACTGTCCAGCTTTGGTGAGCCTGTGTGAATTGTAGCCTCAGTTTCTTGTTCTTAGCTGATAGGAGTGGCACCTGGTGTGGCCTTCTGCTGCTGTAGCCCATCTGCTTCAAGGTTTGACTTGTTCAGAGATGGTATTCTGCATACCTTGGTAGTAACAAGTGGTTATTTGAGTTACTGTTGTCTTTCTGTTACCTCAAACCATCTCTTGTATGTGTAGAAATGGCTGGAGCCGCTTTTCCCTGTTGCTTTAATGATACAGAGAACAAATGGCTAATTTCAGTGTGGCTTTAGCTGCTGTTATCACAAGGACAGAGGAGACAGACCATGGATGTATTAAGAAAATCAGACAGTGAGTGGCTATTTCCACAAACGGCTTACTGATGTAGTTAGAGACTTTAATCCCCTAGAGCATCTGGCTAGTATGTGTCCCCGAAGATGGTTTGAGCAATTGGATTTCAATCCCTCTTGAATGCTTCTTGGATGCACTTACACTTGGACCTCATTTACACTTAGTCACTTAATACATCTTAGGTGGATCGAATAGCCACCTGATCTCAAAAAAGTGTAAATGAAAGAGTCTCTTCTGTATTTTATCTTGATAAGAGACACTTGTGGCGTAAATAGGGTCTACAGTTTAACACCAGCTTGAAATTGTGCTGGTTCATACTTTACAATTCACGGTTTGTAAACTGTTAACGGTGCAGCTAAAGCAATATGTATTGGCTTTTTGACATTTTCATCATCTATTGCTGTTGAGATATAGCCATATCAGCTTTTTTTCTGTTGTATGCTTTGTTGAAATAACACACCATTGTACTGTTTTGCAGTAACTACTAACATTATTCAGTTCTTAATCCGGTAATAGTAATAAAGGCTCCTATTGACTTGTGTTTTTGTCAGAATAAATGGAGGAAAGTGAAAATCACGTTTGGACAAATGACAAAAACATAACTATATACACATTGCACAATACACACCCTGGTCACCCATCCGTCCTGCAAAGTCATGGCACATGTTGTAGTTGAGTTTTTCTCACCTGTGTGGAGTTTGGTCCTTCTTCTAGTGATCCAGAGGAAGGAGCTTTGCTGACTATGGAGGGGGCCTGAAGAAACAACAAACTATTTTACAAAAAATTTCAAAATTTAGTCATCGGTTTAAAAACATGTCTGTCTTTACAAGGCGTCTTGCTGTTATTTTTCCATTGACTGTACTTTTTTTAAATAGCTACTATACTATAAAATGGTGGTAAATCAGTGTTCCAGGTGGCAAGTTTTTCCTGTATGAATCGCTTCAATCCAATAAAATGTGTGATATGTGACCACAATCCCAAATCCAGTCCACAAATTAGTTTTCCTTCTGCCACACTGTAACACAATGAAAGGAGCTCTAAATTCCAAATGCAATAAGAAAAATTTTTAAATAAAGTGAAAACACAAAACAAAGACCGTACTGAAAATTCTAATTTATATGTAAAATATGCATTAATTAAATACATACATATTAATAATTTACTAGTTATTATTTGATTTATTATTTTTTATCTTTTATCTGTATCTTTTATTAATTCATCTTTATGTTTATATTTCTCTTTATATATTCCACATATATTTTCTCATTCTTTGACAGATTAATTCTTTCTAATGGCATTCCTATTTCGCCACTGTTGGTTTAAGAAATAATTTTACAGTCAAAATATGTGGGGGACATCTCTGATGTGTAGGCCTATGGTCTTTCATGCAGTCTGGCTGTTTGGGCTGTGTGTGATGGGTCTGTCTAAATCCTAGTGATGAATGAAGGCCACAATTAATGGAAAAACACATGTGAAACAAACAACTAGCCCCGACCACTCTCTCGCACTTTCCATAGCCTACCTCATTGCTGGGTCTAGGTGGGACCCCCACTGGAGGTGGTGCTGTTGAGCCTTCATCGCTTTTGAACATATTCATGCTGAAATACATGGTGTTACAAACGTTATGGCCAGGAAACATGGCTCAAAACAAATACAACCTCTGACAGCCACCTGGGTCATGCTGGTTTGTTTTAAATCACAATAGTGTTTTAAAGCTGTCATCTGCTGCCAAGGTCACTCACTGCTGTTTTCTCTGCGTAGTTACACACATAAAAATCACATTCCAAATATTTTGCCATTTAACGTGCTCCGCATGTAATCTTGCAAAAGTCGTTAAGTATGAGTTGAGTTAAAGAAATGGGTGCAAATCAGACCCATCATACAGTACTATACATTCAGTAATATTTCCACTTTATTTAGGTCACGTCATCAAGCGCTAAGGCCCATTCACAAAGAAGCCTGTGTGAAATCTGTGCAAGCGAATTATAAAAGTTTATAGTACAAGGGATGCTTTGGTAAACAGGATTTCACCAAATTAACAAATGTGTCCAGCGGAGTGTTTGCAAGTCTTGAAGTCGCTTTCAACGTGTGAAAGTTAACAAAAAAGGCAAGAATCCTTTCAGTAGGATTAACTTTGAGCACAGTTTGGCTTAAACGTCGTTCGTGCTCATACAAAATAACGCCACTTATAGATTCCAACAACATCGTAGCCTACATTGTGTCTGCTACTACACAGGAATGTTTGACAACACAAAACGCCAGCAATTACACAATGAAGCGGCCAGGGTGCCTACCTCAGTGTGGCCGCATGAAAAACACTGGCTGGTGAAGCAACAACAGAAAGGTGAACGACTTTGAAAGTTGACACAGTCCTTCAGTTCCCCTTCATTGTGAAGAGACGTCAGGGTGGTCTGGCAAAAACTGAGGGCGGGCGTCAGCGTTACTGACTATAAAACTCTGGCTCTGATTTCAGGGAAGGGTTTAAAGTTAGATTTGAAGGCGAACAACGTACGAGTAGCCTACTAAACACACACCAAAGGTTTGCATGCGGAGTGAGAAAATAGCGCCCCTTGTCGTCACTTACTGAACTGTGGCGTGGTCTCTCACTTTCCCCTCAGGTTAGTTTGCTCCATGGATCGTGTACTTCTGTACATTTTGGGCTGCCTGACACTATCTAGAATGGAAATCCTGTTGGATTTCTTTTTATTCCTTAATTTTAAAAACATTTACGCTCCTCTGTTTAAGTCGTTTCACTGTATTTATTTAAACTACATAATATACAAAATTAGGCCTATTGTTTTCAAAGTCATTACTTAATATTCACTTGCTTTAGCTGATTCTAAACAATCTTAGGAGAGTAGGCTATTTTCATGAAATAGCTTTTTAAATGCTTTAATCAGATATCTGAATACAGGTGCTGGTCATATAATTAGATTATTTCAGTTATTCCATTCAAAAAGTGAAACTTTGATATTTTATTGATTCATTCAACACAGAATAATGTATTTCAAATGTTTATTTCATTTAATTGTGATGATTAAAACTGACAACTAATGAAAATCCCAAATTCAGTATTCTCAGAAAATTAGAATATTACTTAAGACCAATGCAAAAAAGGATTTTTAGAAATGTTGGCCAACTGAAAAGTATGAGCATGTACGTCACTCAATACTTAGTTGGGGCTCCTTTTGCCTGAATTACTGCAGCAATGCAGCATGGCATGGAGTCGATCAGTCTGTGGCACTGCTCAGGTGTTATGAGAGCCCAGGTTGCTCTGATAGTGGCCTTCAGCTCTTCTGCATTGTTGGGTCTGGCGTATCACATCTTCCTCTTCACAATACCACATAGATTTTCTATAGGGTTAAGGTCAGGAGAGTTTGCTGGCCAACTAAGAACAGGGATACCATGGTCCTTAAACCAGGTACTGGTAGCTTTGGCACTGTGTGCAGGTGCCAAGTCCTGTTGGAAAATGAAATCTGCATCTCCATAAAGTTGGTCAGCAGCAGGAAGCATGAAGTGCTCTAAAACTTCCTAGTAGACGGCTGCGTTGACCTTGGACCTCAGAAAACACAGTGGACCAACACCAGCAGATAACATGGGACCCCAGACCATCACTGACTGTGGAAACTTTACACTGGACTTCAAGCAACATGGATTCTGTGCCTGTCCTCTCTTCCTCCAGACTCTGGGACCTTGATTTCCAAAGGAAATGCAAAATTTACTTTCATCAGAGAACATAACTTTGGACCACTCAGCAGCAGTCCAGAGACACTTCTGACGCTGTGTCTTGTTCAAGAGTGGCTTGACACAAGGAATGCGACAGCTGAAACCCATGTCTTGCATACGTCTGTGCGTGGTGGTTCTTGAAGCACTGACTCCAGCTGCAGTCCACTCTTTGTGAATCTCCCCCACATTTTTGAATGGGTTTTGTTTCACAATCCTCTCCAGGGTGCGGTTATCCCTATTGCTTGTACACTTTTTTCTACCACATCTTTTCCTTCCCTTCGCCTCTCTATTAATGTGCTTGGACACAGAGCTCTGTGAACAGCCAGCCTCTTTAGCAATGACCTTTTGTGTCTTGCCCTCCTTGTGCAAGGTGTCAATGGTCGTCTTTTGGACAGCTGTCAAGTCAGCAGTCTTCCCCATGATTGTGTAGCCTACAGAACTAGACTGAGAGACCATTTAAAGGCCTTTGCAGGTGCAGGTGAGTTAATTAGCTGATTAGAGCGTGGCACCAGGTGTCTGCAATATTGAACCTTTTCACAATATTCTAATTTTCTGAGAGACTGATTTTGGGGTTTTTATTAGTTGTCAGATATAATCATCAAAATTAAAAGGAATGAACACTTGAAATATATCAGTCTGTGTGGAATGAATGTATACATTATACAAGTTTCACTTTTTGAATGGAATTACTGAAATAAATCAACTTTTTGATGATATTCTAATTATATGACCAGCACCTGTAGTTTGAATTGCAGGATAAATGTACTACTCAAACACCTACACAGGCAGGAAGGTTGGGAACATCACTTAAGGCCCAACTTTTCAAACAGGACACATTTGTAAACAGGCTTTATTTACAGAGTCAGTGTTACATGAAAGAATCCGGTTAAAATAATGCAGGAAAATGCCCTAACAGTGTAAAACACTGACAAAATAAAGGCAATTATAAGACCACAAGTGGTCACAAAGAAAATTGACATTTAAAACATACAGTGACTGTATACAAAACATTAATATATGAATGGTTAAACTTAGGTTTGACAGTAAAATAGAATAGAGGCACATATACACACATATAATCATTCATGGGGGCATGGTCAACAGTACACACACACACACACTTACATGGATGCCACATAAGACAAAAAGGTGCCTCCAGTTTTTGATATATATATATATTATGGGGAATAATAAAATTGATTCTTAATGCAACTAAAATGCATTACATGCCACAAAAAAAATTACAAAAATGTGTACAATAATTTTACATGGTGACACATGTGGCTTTCAATGCAGGAATACTTTACCAATAGGTACAAATTGTTGAAGCTTTTGTTTTGTTTTTTGTTTTTTAAACTGATGCTCCAGCAAACCACAACCTACAGCTGCAACCTACCCGTTTGGGACTATAGACGGAAATGAGCTGGTAGCCAAATCTGGTTCAGAGCATCTCTTCGAGATTTATTCATTTTGTACTTGATCCGGGATATGAATACTTTTAATAAACTAAAAGACTTAAACTCAACCAAAAAAAAAAAAAAGATTAGTTGTGTTAATAGGTGTCCTGAAGCAATACAATTTACCATTATCACCGTTTCTCTTTAAAAAAGAAACACTTAAAATTGGATGTTTTTATACAATGTGAGCAGAACATTTCTATTTACAAAACCTATATCCATTAACTTTAATTCAACAAATGAAGACTATTAACATGCCAATTTTAACAACGCATTAAAATCTTATAAACACCATAAAGACAAATATCACTTTGTGTCTGCACAGTTCCCTCTTTTTGAGTCTAATATTTGTTTGCTCAAACTGATATCCGATTCAGGGATTGGACTAAATCACAGACTCTGCTGACAACATTCAATACAATAGCACTACAAAAAAAAAAAAAAAATGCTGAACCTATTCATGCTGTATCAGTTGCATTATATTGTAAGGTGCTCCCGTTTATCATTTGCCATCCTCCTGTAAGTACAGTAGGTGGACAAATTAAACTAAAAATCTATTCAAATGTTGAAGTCAAACCATCTGTGACCACAAAGCTACATTTTGATACACCTTATATTTAAACATTTTACCTACAGAACAATACATACAGTGCATAAAGAAGGGTGTTTTCCTGTCATTCTGCAGCCCCCTGTGTGTACAGTAAATGCCTTACAATACAAATACAACAAGACTAATCCATAGCGTCACAAGTTCTCAGAGTTGAATTAACACCCCTCTGCCAAAATCACAACAAAATAACGACTTATTAGCTTCACAGGGGTTGCATTTTTGCAGGACTATTGAAATGTATTCTAGTCTAATCTAGTGTTAATTGTCTAAACTACGTATAACTCTAGAGTCTGCTGTTTTCAGAAAACTGAATTTGTCTTACAGTAGGTGCTTACCTACTGGGTCCATGAATTCCTTTAAAACCAACAGTTCCCTCATTTAGCCAGGAGAGGGGGTTGGTGATCTTTGATGTTGATTGTCAAAATGGCATCATGCAGGAAGTTGATCAAATGTTTCCAGTGGCATCCTGTAGCTCCTCTCTGATGGCATTGAGCTCGACTACCCCATCGTGGAGGAAATTTGCCACATGCTTTATTTGACCCACCACCTCTTTCTTGCAGCCTTTCTTCAGCTCTCGGGAATCCTTGATGAAGTACTTGTCCATGCCTTTGAAGAGTCCTTGGACTGAGGTAATGGCCTCGTCCGCTATCTCCGTCGCTCGCATCACAGGCTGATCGACAAAGCTGATCATCTGGACTGCCCTGCGGACCTCCCAGTCCTCTGAGTAGTGTTGGGTGCCAGACCTAAGGAAAGGATGACCACGCAGTTTGTACAAGCCCTGATTGACAAAGTGGAGGATCTTCCCAATGTCCAGCAGCTGAGCCTCATAGTTCTCCAATACCATCTCCACCTAGGGAAGGAGAGGTAAAGACCACAGTCTTCAGTTAAACGCTAAAAAAATCAGCAGTAAGCACGAGACGGGACAGGGTGTCAACCATGGTCTCAGTATCATAAGTCACATATTTTAACCATTAAAAGCGTTAAAAGAACGTTACTCTACTTCCTTCATTGAAACATTATGTTCCTGCATTTATTTCAACTATTAAACATCAGAAAATAAGAAAAATAAAAGAAAGCAGTTTGTGGATCTACATGCATTAGAGTTATGAGTGTGCAGCTTTCTCCATTCTGTTTTGATACAAGATGTTACCAGTGCAATAGCAGACCTTGCATAGGCTGTAAAATTGCACCTTACCTTCTTCCGGTCATTCATGTTGTTAACGTTATCCGAGATGGCCGCAGAGGCTGAAGCGATTCCACCAGCTGTTGCCACACCCACACCAACAGCGGTAACTATAAGAGAGGCACCGAGAGTAAAGGGTGCCAAAGCCAAACCAGCGATGGCTGTCACACCACCCACAGCAGTGGTGGTGCCGCCAGTAATGCCAGCGATCTTGGCCTTGTGGTGGAAATTGTTGATGTTGTCAGCGATGCTGTGGAGTGCGACGGTGGATTGCCAGAGGACCTCAGCTCGCTCTGTGAAGACCTTGTTGAAGACACGCAGGCCACGATGAACCTTGTCTGCCAAGATGCTGAATGACCTGGAATTTATTTGGTGGACAAAGCAATGTTATTTCTTTATAAGTGCAGTAAGGAAGAAGCAACTTAAAATGTGGGTCATGATACAAAATGTCAAACAATGAAATAAAAGCAATACTCACTCACTTTATACACTCACTAACTTTCCATAAAGACAGTAGTGCAAACTTTCTATTCACATTTATAAAGTAGCTTGATTAATTCTCACACTCAAAATAACTCACTGCAAAATGTATTAACAGTTGTCATTTGTAAGCTAACCAAATATCAGAATCAGCCAATCAAGCAAAAGAAGCAGATCTTAAACATATGTAGCCTACATCTAAATATTTTCATTTGACTTGATTTTGAAGGGATGGTAGCTGGGGTCCTGACATGGCCTACCAAAACTAGCAGGATTTATGTTGTTAGTTATGCTCAAGTGCTGTTCTGTTATCTGTGTTGGCCCAGAGTACGCAAATACACAGTGCGGTACACATTTCATTATAGCTGCAACTAAGAATTACTTCATTATACATAATTTTGCTGAATTGTTTGTTTAATAAGATGTCAGAATACAGTGAATACAGTACGCCGCACTGAATTTCCTAAAATTTGAGGTATTGCTTCTTTGATCCAAGCAGTGGTCCAAAAACCAAAAGATATTCAGTTAACTATCATCTGACAAGGAAACACATAAAGTCCTCACATTTGAGGAGCTAGAACCTGCAAATGTTTAGCATTTTTGCTTGAGTAATGAATGAACTGATTGTCAAATATTACAGATTATGTTTCTGTTGGTCACCAATAGATTTGACTAATAAATTGTTTCAGTTCTACATTTAGCACAACCTTTTCCTCTACAATCAGTAATCCGAGTCATGACACACATTCACTTCTGGCATAGCAAAAACAAAAACATCCCTCTTGTTTCTGCTGTCAAGCTGATACTTTGAAGGTATCAGTTTGGCCAGTTCAGTACACTTTTACTTCCACCAAATTTGCGTAAACAGACGCACTTGGACTCATCCTCTGTTTTGAATTTGTCCTCATCGTCTGATGGCACCTCATCCCATTCTGAAATACAATCAAGTGTGTTATTTAAGTACAAAAAAAAAAGAAAGACAGACATTCAGGTGTTTACTTAATTGCTTAGTTTTAGTTGTAACTCACGTTCTACAGTGTTCCACCACTCCATCAAACTGTCAGTGTCCTGTGACAAAAAAAAATATTACAAAACCATAATGGTTCACACCAGAGCACTACTAGAAAAGGTGAACATTATTCACATGCATACACAGGAAATGCATATTTTTGTTAGGCCAGGTTTAAGAGAAACTGACCCCTTCTTGATCATCATCCTCCAGAGCTGCTATAGCACGCTCATCCATCTGAGCAGCCAGCCACTCCGCCTGAATGAGGGGAGAGAGGGGACAAAAACAAGCCAGTGAATGTCAGTAGATCTTCTTCAAAACCTGCCTTTATTTAACCATTTAACCTTTGTACATATTAAACCCCTTCTATGCAGGGCTTGGTACGCTAGCTAGTATGTACACTATGTTGCTGAACTGGGTCAGTCACATGTCAAAGGAATGTGTCCTGTCAGGAACAAAGAAATTAAGACAACTAAGTCAACAGTGGAAAACAACATTTCATTGTTTCTCAATTGTCAGTTGAGGTCAACAAAGTGCACCTGGAAAAATAACCAGGCAGTCTTGTTTTCACAGGAATTGTTCAGACATGAGATATTTCTATTTATTCCTGTTTGAAATCTGTCAGTTCTGAATCACTAGAAAATTCAAGACTTGAAACTTAAACAGTGTGTTGCTATATCACTAGTCAAATGCTGTCAGAAGGACGCTAAAGTAGTAAAGCTGCGGGTTAGATAAATACTGAAAACTGGGTCATTAATTAGGACACTTGTGCTAACCGGTTTTAGCCAAAGCCAAACATGTTTACCTGAAGCATACCATTTACTAATCACTCGTTATTAAATAGCTTGCTGTATTTTCCACTTTGAAAGGTGCGAGCTTACCTTAGCAGCCTCTGACAGGTAGTCACTAGACGTAGCTCCTGGTGGATCTTCACACTCTAGATGCATGGCTTTGTTCTGGCATGACAAAGACAAAAAAGTGAGCATGTCCATCTCTTGCTTTTAAAGATCAGACAGCAATAAGAGCAAAACCCCACTTTCTGTATTTGATAACAAATAAGTCAGACCACGCTGATTCACCTTTGCCTTTTGTTTTTTGAGGCCTTTAAGTTTAGATGACTTCTTCTGTTGAAAAGAAAAACAATGTTGGAGAATCATTAAATAACTCCAAAGTGAAGCAGTGAAAATGAACACAAGGAGAAAAAAAATAAATACCGGTTTGCAGGTTTCCACTTCATCCTGTTCGCTGTCATACATCTCTCCAGGACTCATGAAATATGTTCCTGTTTGAGGGATGTCATTATCAGCAAAGGCATCCTGCAAAAAAAAAAAAAAGGTCAGACCAAGTCATTCCACAGAAAACAATTAAACTAAGATATATTATTGTCCCATGCTTATGTTGTGCATTAAACTAACATTAAACATGGATGCTTGCTGAGGTATGTGCTGGCTGAATCCTATTGGTTCACTCTGTCCACTGGTGGTCTTAGAATTGCGTGGGATGGGAATAGGGACTTTGTATTTGGAGTTTTTCTGAGACAGAACAAACAAAAAAGTTTTGTTAATTACAGCTTAAAATGGAATAAAATCAAAAGCAAACATATTCTTGGAAAATAGTCATCCTCTCTTCTGCATAAAAGTGTTTAGTGAAGGTTTTACATCTGCTCTGAAATGAGATATTTAGCACAATGATGCATTTGACAGCACAAGCACTTTGATATGATATCATATATCATGATTTGATGATATTTTCTCTACTGTTGCTAATCTATATTGTTTAAATCATTGCATCACATGGCGTTTCTACAAAGCAATTACATTGTGCTTCTACTACTGGTACCATTGTTGGATAAAACATGCTTTTGGTGTGAGAGATGTGGGTTCGATTTGGCATGGATTACAGACTGTCTCTCGGACATATCTGCATGGATGAAGCCTTGCCACCACAGTCTATGCTTGCCACCTTACACTAACCCTAACTCTAAGACTGAACTCTTCGTCATTCCAGCCAAGCAATCGACCCACCATAACATCAAACTACAAATTGACTTCAACCATCACTCCAACCAAGGTGGTGAGAAACTTGGGTGTCATGATTGATGACAAGCTGTCCTTTTCAGACCATGTTGCTACTGTCTCTCGGTCATGCCGCTTTGCTCTATACAACATCAGAGAAATCAGGGCCTACCTCACTCAATATGCCATCCAGCTTCTGGTACAGGCCATGGTTATCTCTCGCCACGACTATTGCAATGCCCTCCTAGCAGGTCTTCCAGCTTGTACGGTGAAACCCTTACAAATGGGTCAGAACGCAGCGCGCCTGGTTTTTGATCAGCCCAAAAGGACTCATGTCAACTCCATTACTGTGTGACCTCCACTGGCTCCCCGTGGCCTCCAGAATAAAATTTAAGTCACTAATGCTTGCATACAGAGATATAAATAGTTCTGCACCCATCTACCTCAATTCCATAATACAAGTTTACGTTCCTTCTCGGCCACTACGCTCATCCAACGAAACGCCGCCTGGCTCTGCCATCCAGTCACACAAAGCAATCCCAGTCTCAGCTGTTCGTATCTGTGACACCACAATGGTGGAACAAGCTACCACATGCCATCAGAGCAGGGGCGTCCCCTCTCTAAATTCAAGAAGCTCTTGAAAACTCATCTCTTCCGAGAACACTTCCTCTTATAACACCTTTAACCTGCACTTCCTGTGCTCTTCTTCTATCCCCTTACAATTATCTTGTATTGATTGCAATTTTTGTTAACTCTTCTTTCCCTAAAGTGTTTTTTCCCCAAAGCCATCCTCTTTTTTCAATTCATTGCAATGGTAGCGCCGCATTTTTACAACATGGTAAAAACACCAGCAGCGCGAGGAGGCATTGAGCGTCTTTTCCGTGCTGGGCACTGAGCATTTTTTTCCCCAGTCGCCAAGCGTAGAAAAATGTTCAGCTTTGGGAAAAACGCTGCGCTCGTCACTGTCACTTTTTACCCAGCCATCCAATCACAGTACAAGGGGGACGGGACAAACACAGCACCCAACCATCTCAGTTCTCGAACGAAAAAATGTGACTCCTAGCCGAGTTATTTCCTCACCCGCCACGTGTACATGTTTCAGCCTTCTCTTCATGCAGAGCAAGGGCCAGCGCAAGTAGGCGTACGTACTTTGTGGAAAATTAGGTACCCTACTTGCAGCACATCACCTCCACATCACCTTATCATAGCAACCACAGCCTCTCAAAAAAAAAAAAAAACCCTAGCGCTCCCAGCTAGGCAGCTGGTGTTTTCAACTGGTAAAAAACACTTTGATGGACACAGGCCGTAAGACTCAATCAGCAAGCCAGATGTGAGTGTTTGCTTCATCGTTTTTGCCTGTCCGCACTAAAACGCTACGCCGGAGTTTTAAAAACGAGAACAGTGTTGGCAACATTTTCAAAACTTCTCCGTTGTTGATGTTGGGATTCAGCGTTTTAGTCTAGACGTGAGGTGCAAACCTGGCAAAAGGTCTGCGTTTTAGAATGAAAACATAGTAGTTTGGATGTAGCCTAAGACACATCCACCAGTGTGTCCCTGAGCGAGACACTTAACCTCACTCAAGAGGCGTAGCAATTTTAAGTCGCCCTGGATAAAAGCATAAGCTAAATGATTAAATTAAAATCGTAAAAAATAGTACTTTCAGATATAAAAATACCGGTTTGCAGTCCTGCATTCCTTTTAGGTCTTCATTGTCTAACTCCTCTGCTGAGAAGCTGTTCTTTGTCTGGGGACTGTTGTCCAGCATGCCCTCCTAATTAAAAAAAAAACAACAACGTTCAGAGACATTTATCACTTTGCCTAACAAACAAACATTCCACAGACACATTTACCTTAGAGCTTCGACGACCCACGAGCAGCTGTTTCATCTTTGTTGGTTTCTTCTATTGACAAAAGGGGAAAAGCCCATTAAGTGAGAACAGGTAACAAAATGTTCAAATACAAAAATATTGAGAAGGGAAAGTTACAGGTTTCCAGTCTGCCATTCCATATGGATCTTCATCCCCATTTAATCCAGCAGACATATGGGGTGTTTTCTGTAAGAGGTCGTCATCCATGAAATCAGCCTAAGTAACATATTCAGGACAACCTTTAGTCTTTGTAGACAAGTCAGGAATATTTATGACCAAAATCGAAGAGGTTACATTGAAAACCATGCTGCATAGAGGAGTTAATGCAAAATCATATATCCTCCGTGTCAAGACATCCAACTACAGTATATTCACATTAAACAAAAATAAATGCACATTTTTGCATTGTCAAACTACATTGTTTAATGGTAATAATAATTAAAAAAGCACCATGTAAGCTGACTGAAGACGGTAATCTTTCATCTCGTCTACATCCTCAAAGGGATTAGCCTAAGAGTAAAAGAAATAAAAACTTAATAAAAAGTTGTCACATGCAAGCTAATGATTCCAAAAGCTACTCTCCTGCAACACCAACTTAAAAAAGCTAAACTTAAATAAACCATGCCATCTCCAAAAATGATTAGACCATTCACCCTCATATTAGACAATGTGGGACTGACATTGTTCAAAAGTTTGTATAGTTTGTTGTTTAAATATTGAGTCAACTGATGTGAAGGTGAAGGTTACCTGGGACATATATTGAGGTGTGTAGCCATGCGCACCCAAAACTTCATCTTGCGATTTATCCTGTGGTGGGATAAAATATTCTAAACATGTTACACTGCCTAGATCATCCTCATAAAACAAATACAATGTATGAGCAAAGCGCACACATGCTGTACAAACCCATGATACTAACATGTACATTTGAGTTTTTGCGAGGTGTGTATCCATGTGCTCCCTTCAGTTTATCATCCGTCTGGAGGGAAAACGTTTCAACATGACACACATTAAGTAAGGTGTAAACAAATATGCTGTGAAATTGACTTGAAGGTTCACAGAAGGAGAGCTCTTCTCACCCTCTTGCACCTTGTCTGCAGCAGACAATTCAGGATCCAACTAGTTTTATAAAACAGTTGGTTGACAGGTACTTTACCTCTGACCATCGACGTTCAGTGAAGTTTTTCTTGCCGGCGCTTTTCTTATCATCATCATCCTGTTGTGAAATTACAAATAAGACATCACAACTGTGATATTGGTGTAAGATGTCCTGTGTATGGAGGCTTTTCACACATGATAGGGTGGCTTGAATGAGTCTGTTTGCTTGGATGAAACTTCCATGGCAGATTCAGGAAAACCTAAATAAATGTCATTCTGAAAATCACACACACTCACACACACACACACACACACACACTACTTCTTCATGTACTTGCCTTTGATTCTTGAGGTAAAAGTTTGTTCATGTGCTTTGTGTCTGGCACAGAGGAATTAGTGGACGCTCTTCTTAGCTTCAGGTTGACTTTGGTCTTAAGAGGATCCTTCTGTTGACAAAAGAATACATTTAATAACCACCAGTGGTTCATTATTACTGTTCATAAAGACAGAAACTAGATAGTTAAAAAAAATAAAAACATACCGTGTAAACCATCCCATTCTGCTCCTCGTCTTCATTCTCTCCTGCAGACATGTGCCTATCTGAATACTCCTGAAAAACAGAAGCACTTTTAACTCCCTCAGAATAAATTGTTTTTTAATACAAGTTAAAGTATCCTTTATTTGTGCTTGCTAGAATACCGCTTCCTCCATTTGATAGATAGATTGTTGAGGCTACCATTTCAACTTATTGAGTACTTTTAGACGAACAAAAGAGGTTGTATATAACGGCTGTTCTTATCTTTGTTTATGCCTCATGTATGTTTGTTTTAACCCTATTGCAAATCAAATTACCCCTGGTGGGACAATAAAGATTGAACTTGAATATAGTTGTACTACCACATCAGATCACGCCAGCCCCTTAGAGGCCACTACACATTACAGTTTTAATACTAATCTAATCACAGATAAACATATGTAGCACAAATACAATGTATGAGCAAAGCGCACACAGCTGTACAAACCCATGATACTCACATGTACCTTTGAGTTTTTGCGAGATGTGTATCCATGTGCTCCCTTCAGTTTATCATCCGTCTGGAGGGAGAACATTTCAACATGACATAGATTCAGTAAGGTGTAGACAAATATGCTGTGAAATATAAAGTACAGTAGAGGTGCAATACCTTTGCTGATGTGATGGCAAATCCTCTATGTGGGATAAAAGTGATTTTCACCTTCTTTTTTTTCTTCTGGAGAGAGAAAAGATTAGATTGTCCAAATTCAATACATGCAATATTCACATTTCTCCCCTTAAATGCTCAAAAATAACTAAAATATCTAATTTTTTTACACTAAACTGTCATGAATTTTGCATTGTTTTCAACCCTGATAACATCGTGGCATTAATGTGCATATTTCTATGTATCATTAGTTTATCATCTTTACTTATAGTAAGTATTACAAAAGCGTACAAATCCATGGCTGTGAACCTCGCCATGCTGGGCTTCATCTCCTTCCTCGTCCTCACCAGTGCTGCCATCCAAAACGACCCCCTGTTGACAATGAAGCACTGCATCAAAAACTGTTTGGGACGACTAACATTTGTCCTTAAGAACGTAAACAATTTCTTTCAAGAATAAAATACTGAGAAAAAACACATCTATTACTTTTTCCAGCACTTAAGACATGTTAAAAAAACAAATTAAAAAAGTCTTAATGATTAGGATTTTGAGCCGCTAGTGCTCAAGATGGTCTTTGGGACTTGAAGGTTCACAGAAGGAGAGCTCTTCTCACCCTCTTGCACCTCGTCTGCAGCAGACAATTCAGGATCCAACTAGTGTGATAAACAGTTGGTCGACAGGTACTTTACCTCTGACCATCGACGTTCAATGGAGTTTTTCTTGCTGACGCTTTTCTTATCATCATCACCCTGTTGTGAAATTACAAATAAGACATCACAACTGTGATATTGGTGTAAGATGTCCTGTGTATGGAGGCTTTTCACACATGATAGGGTGGCTTGAATGAGTCTGTTTGCTTGGATGAAACTTCCATGGCAGATTCAGGAAAACCTAAATAAATGTCATTCTGAAAATCACACGCACACACACTTGTACTACTTCTTCATGTACTTGCCTTTGATTCTTGAGGTAAAAGTTTGTTCATGTGCTTTGTGTCTGGCACAGAGGAATTAGTGGACGCTCTTCTTAGCTTCGGGTTGACTTTGGTCTTAAGAGGATTCTTCTGTTGAGAAAATAATACATTAACCAATATACAATAACCACCAGTGGTTCATTATTACTGTTCATAAGGACAGAAACTAGATGGGTTTTTTTTGTTTAAAAAAAATAAAAACATACCGTGTAAACCATCCCATTCTGCTCCTCGTCTTCGTTCTCTCCTGCAGACATGTGCCTATCTGAATACTCCTGAAAAACAGAAGCACTTTTAACTCCCTCAGAATAAATTGTTTTAACACAAGTTAAAGTTGCCTTTATTTGTGCTTGCTAGAATGTCGCTTTCTCTATTTGAATATAGTTGTACTACCACATCAGATCACGCCAGCCCTTTAGAGGCAACAACACATTACAGTTTTAATACTAACCTAATCACAGATAAACATATGTAGGGAAATGTAAAGGCTAGGCTTACTGTCACATGTGTACACAATATAAATTTGATTCCAGACTCTGATAGTTACCATTGTTGATTTACTATGGTAAGGTAGTGTCTTGCTCCTCCCCTCCTTTGTGTCATCAGCAAACTTTTCCTACAATTGAAATTCATTAGACAAACATGCAAATAAATTCTAATCAGTGAAGCTGTTATTTTGCATGGCTTCATTTACCTTTGACCCTCTTCTTGAAAGAAAGGACTTTCTGTTTTTTTTGTCTTTTTTCTGTAAAAAAACAAAACGTGTGTTAAACTATGTAACAACCACTTAATGCCTAACAGTGAGTGATGAGTGAGTTGGATAGTACCTTGCTGTGACTCCCAGAGTTGTCCTGATCCTCGCCACTGCCTCCATTAGAGTTCATCTTAATATAAAGGTAAAGGTTAACGTTTTCACATCATGTTTCTGCTTACAAACAAACAATGCTAGCAAGGGAAATAACTCATCTCTTACTTTCAATGATTCTCGTCGTAGTCTTAATGTTCCAGACTGGGGGGGAAAAAAAATATATATATATGACAGAGAATTTATTTTGCAATAGATAACATTTCCCTGTATTAATAATTTAGGGGAAATTCAAGTTTGCATAGCAGCACACAAGAATAATAGAATAGACGACATTACTGAGAGCTCGAGGTAGTATGCCCCCGTATTGAGAGAAAATGTGATGAAAGGATTGCAGATTCATTTTGGTAAGGTTTTCTTACTGGTTTGAAGTCAGGGTTAAGCTCAGGGCTGTCTTCGGGCCAGTCTTCAACACACCTCTCCTTTTTAGGGGGTGTTTTAGTAAAGCAAATATTTGCATAGATAGTTTCACCAAAATGTTTTCATAATAATCCAACATACATAATCATTATGTCCATCCATCCAGAAATGAATACATTTAATTTATAATTATTGAGAATCACTTGCACTTGAAACATACCTGTCCAATAAGCAGGACATCCTCAAAGACAACATAGTTCTCAGGGTCTGTCTGTTTACTTTCCTGTAAAAAAAACAAAACAAAAAAACAAAAACACTTGAAACATGCCCACATAAATTCAATTTCAATTTTATTTATATAGCGCCAAATCACAACAACAGTTATCTCACAGCGCTTTTCATAAAAGAGCAGGTCTAGACCGTACTCTGTGATGTTATTTACAGAAGCCCAACAGTTCCCATCAAGAGCAAGCACTAGGCGACAGAGGCAAGGAAAAACTTCCTTTTAAGAGGCAGAAACCTCGAGCAGAACCATGGCTCAGGGTGGGCGGCCATCTGCCTCGACCGGTTAAAGATGATGTTCTCTCCACAGTGTATCCTAATAGACAACACATTTTACATTGTTCCTCATATCTAGAAACAATGTCCTAGAGCATATAGTTGCCCTAGCTAGTTAGGGCAGCTAATTTGGTCAAATGTCAACATCATGCCTACCAGAGTTTTGGGTTTAACTGGTTTTGGGAGCATACTGAAGGCTGGCTTGGGAGATGTTTTTGGTAGAGCTGGTTCAGTTCCAATCTAAACACAGTCCAAAGGATACAAAGAATGTAATTAACAGCACATTACAGTGGCAGAGAAAGTTGTGAGTTAAAGGTTCAGTGTGTAAGTTTTAGTGATATCTAGTGGCTCACTGCGCATTCACTCGCTCCTAAGAAATAAGTACTTAATAAATGTATTACTTCTAATGGCAATTGTAAATTCAGCAGTAAAACAAACAAAAAAAAAAAAAAAAAAAAAAAAAAAAAAAAAACTTTGTACCTTTTCTCCATAAGGTCTTATGGTCCTCTTTTAATATCTTTATATAATATAGACTACCACTGGCAAAGTTTTTATTATTTGTGTCTTCTTACATATATTTCTATACTGTTCTGTATACTCCATGTCCCATGTACACTTTAGTCCACTTTTCAGACACCATATGAATGCACCATCAGTCACCGCTCACCTTCCTTTGCAAGCACAGAGAAGCTACGGTGACTGACACGCTCCATCCACTCATGCTAAACAGTACGTGTGGTCATACATTTGTCCAAATTTCACTTGTCTTCTTCCTTCTAATAAACCTGACTACTACTAATGCTGCTACTTCTGCTTGTTTTTCATACGTAATAAACGTAGTGATGAAACATGGTCTGTAGAGAATACACAGTTATGGATATTATATTACATTTGTGTTAATAGATCCTCGTAAATATTACACACTGAAGCTTTAAACAAACAAAGAAATAACATTGTGCTAAACTTTATTCTTTACATACAGGGTTTGCTGGTGTCAGTGGTTTTTCTGGTTTTGGTGGCCTGTTTGGCCTGGGTGGTCTAGTTCGGGGAAGTGGCTTTGGCGGACGTTTGAAGGTCTGCACCTGCAAGTTTGATTATAAAAAGTTAGTAGAAAGTTCATGTCATAAATCAATGTGTAAGCATTTTGTGGTCTAGATGCATCCTACAGTAGAGTAGTTCCCTTAACATATTTAAAGTAAAATCCATTTTATTAAATATGGATTTTATTGTGGTCTAAATATCAAATGGCACTTGTTACATACATGAGTCATTTCAGATGGAGATTGCCTTGGTGACACAGACAGATGCCTGGCCCGACTGAAGGGACTTGGCTCAAGGATTTCATGTTCAGTTCCCTGGGGAGTCGTCAAGACAATATCATGAGGCCTGTCAGACGAGTTCGGTTGGATGGCTGGATGTGATTCTGATGTCGCTGCCTTGAAAAGATCTGGTGAAGATAGCATGTCTAACTTCACTTCTGATTTCTGACTGTTGAGTGAAGGTGTAGAGGCAGTATTGATGGGGTTTATCTCAAATACATTGCTGTTAGTCTTTGAGGGAAGAGGTTGGAAAATGTCAAATGGAGACCCATTTGAAACATCCTGGAAAGGGTCGTATTGTTTTGAAGGAGTAGGACCAAATGGGTCATCCAAACTGGAAACACTTTGGAATAAACTCTTTGTAATTGGGCTTGGGAATGGGTCGACTGAATTTGTGGATGAAGATGAAAATACATCAAGGTTTTCCTTAAAAGACATGCCAAAAGGGTCCTCTTTCGTAGAGGCGTCTTGTTTGTTTTCCCTGATGTTGAAGAGTTCCCCACTTCTAGTTGGAAGTGATTGAAACAAATCCGCTCCATTGGTCGTGGTAGTAGAAAATGGATTTGCCATCTTGGGCTGTGGAGAACGGAACAGGTCATACTCCTTGTTTGAAGTAGATATGAACGGGTCAACAAAGATACTGGGAGATTTATCAAAGAGATTCACCTCCGTAGTGCGTTTAGCTTCATCATCTCCTTTAGCAGCCTGGAAAAGATTGACCCCTTCATCTTTAAACAGGTCCAAGGTTTTGGGAAAGGTCTGTGTTTGAGCAGGGATTGACTTGAATAAGTCTGGTGAGTTCAGGGTTACATCATGAAAAGGGTCATTGGCAGATGTCTTCCTGGCCAGTGTTGATGCCTGGAAGAGGCCTTGTGAATGATTGGCGTTATGGGCCTGGAATAAGTCCTTTTGAGGTTCAGAAACTTGGGCTCCATTTTCCACATTTTGAAATTCAGGTGGAGGGACAAGGATGGTATTGAGATTTTCATCAGACATTTTCCTCCGTACATCCTTCATTACATGACCTTTGCTGCCCAAATCCTGATGAAAGAACACAAGGTCATTAGCGACATTGTCAATGATAATGATGGTATATAAGGTAGTGTTTTGAGATGCGTACCAAAGAATGCGCATGAGAAGAGTTCATTCTTTCCAAGCCCCCACTGATTCCACTCTGATAAACAAAGAAAGGAAAATGACACAAGAGACAAAGAGGTGCAAGATTCGACTTGGACTGTTGACCGTGCTAAAAATGCTGGCATCTAAACACATACCTGAGGACTTAAGTGCAGCACTTCCTGCTCTCCATTCTGTAATTAGATTAGACATAATTACATTAAAACATGTTGAATGATTGTTGGAAGGAGGCAGTGTACAAACTAAAAACCACATGAAAATATTCCATTAACTTTTTGTGTTGAGGATTGCTCAAGACAAAATGCCGCATCTTCCGAACAAGGATGCTAAATGAACTAAACATATTTATGGAGTGAAGCGTGGTCACGCATCATACTTTTCACGCACTGTGAATCACTGTGTTATGTAAGTCATGTGTCAGAAATGGCAAACACAAATTCAACAATACTCTCTGCTGTTGAAACGATACAACAGGCAGGTCTACACTTGCTGTTGGTTTTCCAACAACGAAGGAAGTATGTTTTTGTTGTTAACTCTGTGTTTAAAGAAAGACAATCTGACTGGGAGTGTCTTTAAAATACACTTTTCAACGAGGATCCACAACCTGCACTTGTGTAGGCCATGTGCAGAGCTGAAAGCTGCTGTTATCATTTTGTCTCTAACCTGTTTGTTTTGGTACTCATTTGCTGATGATTCACTGAAGTCTGAGGTTGATGAAACAAGAGTCTGAGAAGAAAGAGAAACAAAAAACGAGTATCATCAACAATAGCAAGCTAATTTATTAAGCCAGTTAATTTTAAATATCCATCCACAAACTGGAAAAGTTAAAGTTGAGTTAAGCATTCTGACAGATTGTAATTGTGTACTGCAAAGTGTGCGTGCGTGCCCACTCACCTTGTATTGATTATGGAAAGGGCTTTGAGAAACTTTCCTTAGCATATTTTGTAGCTTCACAATACTCTGAAGAAAACACACACAGAAAATCATCAAGTACTCAGCTGCTTTATCATCAGTGAGCTTATCTAAATTTAAAAAAAATCCATAAAGTTTAAGTTGCACTTTGATGAAAGGAATATTTTTCAAATTGCCGTTCAATTCTGTTGATCAAAAATATCAACAAGACTCAGCCCTGCCTGGATAAGAACTGTGCCGGAGCGAAATAACACTGAAAAGTCTGAGTGGAACAGCTTTTTGAGATATTGGTTGTATTCCATTTTACTGCAGAGTGTTGTACTTTATACTCTACTGTATTTATCTGAAGGCTGTGGTATATATATATATATATATATATATATATATATATATATATATATATATATATATATATATATATATATATATATATATATATATATATATATATATATATATATATATATATATATATATTAAAAGAAGGTTAAGGATTCATATTCAAAACACATTTAAAAACTTTTCAACATTACATTAAGTAGTTAGATATAGCATATTTAAACACTGAAAGACAGTTCTTCAGAATTTGTACTTCCGGTAGTAAGTTTTTCTTGTAAATAAAATGCTAAATATTGGAATTTGTAACAAATTATGCATTTAATCTGTTGTCTAGTAACAAAGTACAAATTCATGATGATTTGAAATTGCAGTGTGACAGATTTTTCTCTAGTGTGTAATTGTGCCATAACAGGCATCAGTCACAGACATGGCAATGCAAAATACATTGAGAACAGCTGACATCATCATGATACTCTGGGTTTGGCAGTTTGTTTGCCTTGACAATAGACATGACAGCCATATGCCAACAGTGTATCAGCAGTACAGGGAAAATACACTGTTCAGTAACTCTGAATTAAACTCATGGTGAATGAAAAAAAGGCCTCAATGAGCCTCCAATACTATGATTTAAACACAGGGGCCAGCAACTAAAGAGGAAAAATACACTGATGAAAGACATAGTGAAGAGTGTAAGCTCAAAATCTGATTCAGCGTTTGGTGAATTGCACTCGAAACGGTGTCAAGGATATCTGTATCTTGGCTCAACAGCATTTGGTTGGCTTTATTTCAGCTACACCACATATGTAGTAAATTTAAATGAAGTCACTGAAATTCTGTTAAACCACATTCAGACTATTTGCAGCATATTTTTTTAAAACTCACTTTCAATCTACAGTCTGCAGCTGCACCATGTGCCTGCTCACCCAGAAATATTAACAAATGATCTCCAATATTGTAGGAATGTATGTTCAATCAGTGCAACCAATAACATCATGACAGAGATCATTATTCGTTGACATTATGTGCCCCTAAGCTTGACACTTGGGTTACACATTATGTGCAAAAACGATTTTAGTGGAACTGCTCTAACAAACTCACGAGAATTTTACTTATCTCTCTAAATAGACTTTATTCATCCCCAAAGAGAAATTGCAGTAGGCCTATCACTGGTTTAATTAAAGTTACAAAACATACTCAACTTAGACAAAACTAACTTGCTCCTGAAATGATGTTGTTTGAGCATACAATTTATAATAATAAACACAAGGAAGAAGAGGATGGAATTTAGGCACGGCAGTGTTGACAGGTGTAGTGCCGAAAACTGATGTTTGGTAGGCCTATGTCTAATATCTTTGTTTATATTTGGAAAAGGGCTGTAGCCTAATTAACGTGACTTACTGCCAACTTAAATATAAAATGAAGACAATTTTGCAATTATCCTTATGACTGTATTATTTTACTTGCTGTGTACCCTACCAACCAATACACTCTTTTTTTACCTGTTAAAATAGTCCTACCTTTAAATGGCCAATACAACTCATAAAATGCAGTATTTCACTTGCCAGAAAATGATTGAAGCCTTTTGTTATTGACTGAAAGGTTATTTCCACCCTGAAATTAGTTGATTTCATTCAAAACAGTTATAGGCCTATTTGACAGATTATAGCTCACCTAGTGGGCCTACTTTTTACTTCTTAAAATACCTTTAAATGGCCAATACAACCCATAAAATGCAGTAGGCTATTTCACTTGCCAGAAAGTGAAGAGACTGGGTAATACAGCTCCAGCAGATGGCAATCAGTTTTCAGGCATGACACCTGCACATCTGAGAATCAATCTCTTCCAACACAAACAAAAACCACCACCGAAACTACAGCATCTTTTCAGCCCTAATTTGTAAGAAGGCCTACTCACAGGTCGTCTTTCCACAGATGCAGCTGCTGCTGCTCCTCTCTCTCCATGCTCGTCAGCCCCCACCTTATTATAAACATTTCGCCATTAGAAAGAGTAGAAAAACAATCGAACATACAACATGTTTCAACCAAAAGTAGCTAATACCCCAGATGATAAAGATATCACTTTAGGGGACTTTAGGGGCTCCTTAAAACATAGCTTGCATCAATGCACAGTTAATTTGAGATTTACTTGAACATATTGCAACTTACCGTAGTTGTATCTCCAGTCATGATCAGTAAAGTTGGTTTAATATTTGATTAAGTAAAATAAGAGCATTAATTTCCCCACCGGTGAGTTTTGTGGACGATATAGTTTCTTTTGCATTAAAACGCGTCAGTGCGTTAACAGGACTCAAGTTGTTAATTATCTCCCGGCTTGAAACACCTGTGTCAAGTCCGTCGCGAGGAATGAGATACATCCGGAATTCCAATTTACAAAATAAAAGGCTTTACCTGGACATGCTCTCGCTCGCATCAATTAAAATGGGACTATTTAGAGTCAGCCAGTGAAGTATTATGTTGCATATGTATGTAATTTTCTTAACAACGCCCTTTTCTTGCCCATAAGAGAGTCACTGCAAACAATCAGCACATATTTGCATTTTTTCAATTTGTCTACCAAGGTGATCTACAGAGAGCAATGACTTACAGGCACCTCAGAAGTAATAATATCCCCCAAACTAGCAGTAGGTCACCCCTGTAGGCTGAACCACTTGTCAAACCAAAGGATAAGTAGGCCTACCACATGAATTAAGCTACATATTTGGAAAGGACAATATAGGCTATTTGTTGTGAAACCATTGAAAAATTTGCAATCATTGCTGTTTCTGAGGGTTATTTGGTTCCTGTTTGACAAATAGAAGCCTATTCCCAAATTTGGAAAACGAATATTTCAGTAGCCCATTTTACAATTGTTATTCAGCCATACTTTAAATCCTCCTTTCCTTATTTGTTTAAAATGATGGTCTACATTTTCAACTATTTTGAAATCAAATTCACGTTACTTCCGGCCTCTTTGTGAATGCGTTTCCTTCTCGGAAGTTGTTACCTTTCCACCCACTGGCCGAATGCAAACCGACCGGTTGTCCTCGCCCAGTTCTACCGGGTGGTGTGGCGGGTGTGTTGACGTGCTGCGGCCCTGAGCTGACAGATGAGAAAACTCAAAATGTTAACAAATAACATGAAAGCAAACACTGACCCATGATTAACATTTTAGTTGTTAACCAATTCCAGAAACATTTTTTACATGCTAGCCTACATGAAAACAAGTCTCGGTTTAACAGATCCCATCCACATTATCCAACACAACTGTCTTCCTAAAAGGCCTTTACTGGAAACCTGAATGCTAACTTTATTAGAGTGACTCCTCAAAACTTAACTTAAAATTGAAATGAAACTGACATATCATGGCCTGCAGACCAACAACACCTTTCTAATTTTCTTCGAGTCTCTGCCCTGCAGCAATAATTCCATCAACTGAGGCAAATATTAATGTCTGTTCATTAGATTGAATTACATCTTAAATGATAATTGTTCAAGTTGGGATAATAATCAGGCAATGCAAACAAAACTTTGAGTAAATATTGCTGAAACAACAAATAGAAACGTTTTGATCCCCAAATCAGGTTCACACAAGAAGTGTGGCCTTAGGGCTGATTAAGAACAACTGATGTAGAGCAAGCTGTGATATTACTGGTATGATGTAGGCAAATCTTCTGAATAAGAAAGCACATTAGTAGCATAAAAACATGCAACAGCTGATGGACAGTTGGACAGTCACTGAGAGAAACTGATGATTATGGTGACTGCAGAGAAACCTAATTAGTTCTAAGTAGGCCTATGTATTAAGTTCGTCTGCATCACACATATCTACGCATATCATTGAATAAGACTAACATGCTAACTGTCTTTAAACGAGTTTCACAGTTGTTGACTTCAGTATATAGATAGTGATGTAACATTATTTGTCCAGCAGGTGGCAGAAACTCTTTAAATTTTGTAGGGTAAAGCTTGACTGTGAGAATCTTCTTTCTGGATCACATGTAGGCCTAATCAGTGCGGGTTCTAGACCAATTTTATTAATGGGGCCAGGTTGGGGCCAGTTGTTTTGTCAGAGGGGCACATTCAATCCGGGACAAAAGAGACAAAGGCAGTTCAAGCTTTCAAAATGTCTTCTCTAGTATATAATGTAATGTTTTAGTAACAGGATCTTTTCAGTAATTAGTTTTATTAAATTACATTATACAAAAAAATAACATTCCTGTTAACTTTAGCTCAAGTTACAGTACAAAATTAAATACTTAGGCCATCATCTGTGCTTTATAAAGGGGGGATACGTTTTATGGCAGGTGAAATAATTGCTTGGAAAATAGAAACTTCTCCATATTCACCCCTTTTATTAGTCCTGGTGTGAAGTATACACAAAATTAAATACTTGATAGTAGGCCATCATTTTCTCTCAAGTTGGGATCATTAGGATTTTATTGACACACTTGTATTGGTAATCCTTATAGGTTCAGTTCTTTATCGATGCTCTATCTCCCTAGTTGCATATATTATTTTAAAAAAAAAATTCACATTTTTTATTAACTAACTGTTGTTTCTAGAGCAGCAACAGGATTTACAACAGCAAAGTCAGTATCTCACTGGAAACAAATCTAACATGCCAGTAAAATAAATCATATTCCTGACAATCCCTCCTGTCGTCCTCCTCCTCCCTCTGCAGTTGCTGCTGGTAGAGAGGAGGGCTGGTCTGTCTCAGCCACCAGCTGAGTTTATAATGTGCCATATTTTAATGTACAGGCAAACTAAACTGAACAGTTACTAAAGACAGACAGCTTTCACTTCAGCTTACATGTGTAAAACCAACATCTGGTGGATGAGAGACTGAGCAGATTAAAACATCGTGTTTTGCATATTTATGCTTATTAAACAAGAGTGTTGGTAAAGAATTGGCTTTTTACTGGCTAAGTCTTTATTGCACCACGTACATACACTAACCAGCGTAGTTGTCGTCAATTTCCGCTGATCAGCTGGCTGACTTCGATCCGTGTGTGCGCATGCGCATGTGTGGAAGCGCTCTGCAGATACAGATGAGTGGAGAGGCATTTTACTAAGAGCAGTTTTGCCTCAAAGAATTACCTTTTTTTAATCAATGGCAATGCAAAGAAATTAAAGGTAAACTGTACAATCAAAATGCTGGTAAACGTCCTGAGATAACAGCCTGTGTAAAACAAGGCAAAACAAGACCAACTTTAATTATTCACACGTAAATATCAAATGTATGATCATCTGTTGGCATGAAAATGTTTAGCTGTCACAGCTAGGTCACCATCACTTGAGTACACCTTGATAGGCTACCAAGAAGTCTTTTTCTGATTGTCAAGAAAATGAAAGAACAAAATACAAGCTGGAACCAGTGGTGTAGGGGACGTTTGTCTGTGGACAACAAAGAAGTTACCCAAGACATGGTGTGACCTTTGCCAAACAGCCCTTCGCACGTCATTTCTGCCATAAATCAAATGTATGATCATATTCTGTCATGGAAATGTTTGGCTGTCACAGGTCACCATGCCTTGAGTACACCTTGATAAGCTACCAAGAAGTCATGTGTTTTTCAAGAATCATTGTGTGAAAGTGAAAGAAAAATGCTGGTACCAGTCGCGTAGGGGAATTCTGTTAGTGGACAACAAAGAAGTTAGCATAGCGTGACCTCTGCCAAACAGCCTTTTGCATGACTTTTCTGCTGTCATAGCCTATTCTTTGTACAGGTAAGTACAGTTGCTTGCACACTGCCCAAAACAAACACAAGATACAAGGTAGTTTATTTGTCATTATATAGCACAAGTTTGTATAAAAAAACTAAATATGTAGTTCCTTCATGCTACACACGCAACATACAATAAAGTGTAGGCTTTATATTAAAATATGGTTACATATAAAATAAAGCAATATATACTGTTATTTAAATACATATATACATACATGTATACATGCAGAACATCCCACAGTGTATTTTTTGAATTTGCATCTGGGGTGAATGTAAACAGCAGCAACCAGATGATGGTTTCATCTTCATATTAACTAAAGGTATCTTTTTACTTTTTAAGTTTTAAGTTATAGTGATTCAATCCTTCTTGTTGTGTCTGTCTGTCTGTCTGTCTATCTATTATTAATATTTATATTGAGATTGATTAAATAAGACATTTAAATATGTGATGTGAGGTTAGCTCAAAACACCAAATGGGATCAATTCTTCTAATCCGTGTGTAAAGATATGTGTTGCCGTTACAGGGTGATAAGATAAGATATGATTACTTTTGCTTTGTCATGACTTAGGGTTGTATGCATTGATACCAGCAAACTTTTAGAAATGGAGAAATGTTGTTTTGGAGGGCACAAGTGCTGAAAGTAAAAATAAGAAAGTAACTTACAAGAAAGTAAGTTAAAGTAAGTAACACAGTTTACAGGAAGTCCAATATATAAATCGAAAGGAAGGCAGGAAATCCCCACAGGGCGGTGCCTGGGCAAGTTTGGCGAAAAAGAAACAACAACAAACGATTAAAAAGAAAGAATCAAACACACAGGCTGCAGATCATCTCAGGTGTCCTAAAGACACACACTGCTTCTCTTTTTTTTTCATCTCTCACAGGTGAGTATTAGACTGCTACATTAATATATTAAATGTGTTAATAACAAAAAAATCAATCAACTTAAAAAAACTTTTTTACCCATTGCAAATGTCATTTCTGTAACAGCATCAGTGCATATACATAAGTGGACAGACCTCAAGCAAAGAGTAGATAATATTGAAGTATGCCTAAAAATGTCCATAAATAAACAAACAATAGGGTCAAGCACCCAAGCTAGCTCAGGGATTAATGATTCTGATGGAAGTAATAATGTGAATAGTTATAACTGTGTTTTGATGCATTTTTATGAATATTTGCTTGCTGTGCAATGTAGAGAATAAAAACTGCTAAATATAAATTAAGAATGAAACCTGTTATACACCAATATTTAAGTTAATGCTGTAACAAGTAAACATATTATAATTACAATATTACTGAATTGCAGGTATTAAATAGAGTATTGCTTTAAGGATATTTTTTCCCATTTCTATTTTGACCAGATTTGACAGTTTTCCTACAAAATGGATGAATATGACAGGGATACCGGAGAGGAAGAATTGGTTAAAAGATTCAGAACTTTTCTCTTTACTCAAAGTTTGTTGACTCCCAACAAAAATGAAGAGCTTCTTCTCAACAAGCTGCAGGGACTGGTTACAAATATCAAATGGAGCCCAACTGATGCCACTGACTTGTTCAACGCTCTGCTGAAGCGATTTGAGAGATCAACAACAAATGACAGATTACCTCTGCCACTATGGATGCTGAAAATGTTGCATTGTATAGAGATTAATTACATTACTCCCAGCTGGAGATGTCAAACAGGAACACTTATCGAGCTGGTCCGAGACGAGACTGTAACAGATGAAAACCTCAAAAAATGTTTAGCAGACGATACAGAAAAGAATCTGGATGAAATTCTTGAGGAAATCCGCCAACAGAAGTTAAACCAAATTGATGAAAAGCTTTTAGATGATGTGAGGGACATTGTGTCATCAGTTGATGAAGATCTTACATTACACAATAATGGATCACAGCAGAGTGGTTTGAAAAAAGACTTGCTGGAGCTCTGTCAGGCAGCAGAAAAAACTCACTTCAGACCACGACTGACACAAATGGTGAGCTGGTGTATCATGGCTCTTTCCAAAACAGGGCGGTTAGTTCAGGTTGGCACTGGAGAGGGGAAGTCGTGTATCGTGGCAATGTTTGCAGCTTTCAGAGCTATGAGAGGTGACAAGGTAGACATCATGTCCAGCTCTCCTGTTCTAGCAGAGCGAGATTTGAAAGATTGGCGAGAGTTTTATAAAGTTTTGAACATCAGTGTAGACTGCAACACTAACAAACAGGACAAAGACTTAAAAAAGTGCTATAAGTGTCAGGTTGTTTATGGTACTGTGGAGGAGTTTGCGGGAGACTGGCTCCGGCATCACTTCAAAAGGACAGACATATTTGGGCAAAGACAATTCCAGTGTGCAATTGTGGATGAAGTGGATTCCTTGATGCTAGATAAGGGTCTTCATGTGGTTTATATAAGTAGTGACATGCCTGCTTTGCAACATCTCAATCCACTCTTGGCATTCATATGGGCCACTGCTAATCAGTTCAGTAAGATTAGCACAGAGACAACTGTGGGGAGAAAATACCCCTTCCATCATGTTGTGCTTGAAAATATAACAAAGGGCAAATATGTTGATGAGTTTACCATCCTTCAAATGGCTGAGGACACAGGTATACTGGGAAAAGGTTCTGTTAGGGACCTTAGAAAGAACCCGAGCCTTTTAACTGAAAAAACTGCAAGCGTTACTGCTAACCAGCTGGCAAAGTTCTTTGAGACAGCAGAGAGTAGATTCCCATCTTGTCAGTTTGCTCTGCACTGCGTAAACAATGATGGAGCAATAGAGGAACTGAACAAAGGACAACAAATAGAAATGGCTGGAAGACAGAGAGTACCACTGCTTTTAAGGAATGGAGGCTTCTGTCAGTACATGTATTCTGATGAAGAGAGTGTACAGAGAGCTGCAGAAACAGAAATAAAACGTGCTCTGCATTTTACACCATGTGAACTGAGCCAAGATAAAAGTAGCTGCTACGTCCCGGGCTTCCTCTCAGATCTGGTCAAATCTAAACTAAAGGTCTGGATTGAAAATGCATTCTACGCACAAACAATGACCATGGATCATGAATACATTGCTGAGACACATGGGATAGTGCCTGTTGACTACAGCTGCACAGGTGTTGTTGAAAACAACATGAAATGGTCAGATGGGCTACAGCAGTTTCTTGAAATGAAACATCAGTCCAAGCTGAGTGACATGACAGCCATCACAAACTATATGTCCAATGTTGGCTTGCTTCAAAAGTATGAAGATCAGATTTTTGGAATCTCTGGGACTCTTGGCCAACAAGCTGAGACTGAGACCTTGCAGAAAATCTACAAAGGGATCAAGACCTGTCAGATACCTTCATTCAAACGCAGAAAGCTGTTTGAGGTTGAAGGCGTAATTGTAGATGATGAAAAAGAATGGATTGAGAAAATCTGCCATGTTGTCAATGGACAAACCAACTCTACTCCATACAGGGATCCAAGAGCTGTGTTGGTCATCTGTGAGACCATCAATCGAGCAAAGGTTCTCCACAAAGCTCTGGGAGGCAAGGTCCCCAACAAAAAGCTTTACATAAGCAACAATATGGACAATTCTGAAGTCTTTAAAGAGCTTCAAGCTGGAAACGTAATCATAGCAACAAACCTTGCAGGCCGTGGAACAGATCTTAAGGTTTCAGACGACGTAAAGAAAGCTGGAGGTTTGTTTGTTTTGCAGACCTTCCTGCCAAAGAATGCTCGAGTGGAGGCGCAGGCATTTGGCCGCACTGCTAGACAAGGATCTCCTGGGTCTGCTCAGCTAGTTGTCTGCTCCAGTCATCTGTCAGATACACTGAAACTTCTGGCTTTAATGGGCAAACTTCAATATTTATTGGAAAATATAACTGATGTCATGCCAGTTTATCAAGATCTTTTTGTGAAGCAATTACAACTGTATCCTAACAGCCAAGGACATGACAAATCTCAACATTTACTGTTGACACTGTGGCACATTTTAACAAAAACCTCAGATTCAAGAATAAAGACAGTTAAAATTGCCAGAAATTACCATGTTCAAAAAACATTTGCTAGATTCTTAGAGTGTGACATCCCAGTGATAAAGAAGAAGGAAGAGCTTTTCAGTCAGTATCTGGACATACTGGATGAAGTGTACAAAAACAGTAACAACAAGCCAGCAGATTCAGATTTGTCTGCACTGAATGAATTCTGGGGTATGTGGCTACTCACCAACTTCAATGAGGATGATTCTATTGTGGACTTAAAAAAAAAACTAACTGAAGACCTGAAAACAGCCAGGCAAAAACTCAGATGGAAAGAATCACCCTCATCAAACCTCCACCACTACACTGCATTTGGCAATGAGCTGCAGGAAAAGGGACATCTCAGAGAGAGTATCAAGATGTACACTAAGGCCATACAGGAGGACCACTGCTGGGCAGCATTTGCATATTACAACCGTGCATTTGCATCATTAACCCAGAAAGATGGGCATCAGGATCCAAGCTGCATCGATCAAGCTCTGGAAGATTTGCAAAATGCACTCAGGTCTGTTGAGCTCTACTGTGAACAAATTGAGGTCACTTGGAGATACTCCAAACAACAAATCGAGAACCTCCACAGCGATTCAGATAGATTTGACAGTCACATCAAAGTCAGATACCAGGTGTTGCTGTGTTTGAAGAAAAACATTAATGAGGCCACAGGGAAGCTTGAAAGGACAAGAGACACTGGTGGGGTTGTTAAACTAAATAAGAAGTTAGTTTACTTCCTTGTTTCATCAAAGCTGTTTCTTCCCATGGTAAAACATACTTTAAAATCACTGAATCTAATCTACTTCAGAGACCCTCTGAAGATGCTTCAGCTCATCAGTGATCCCTCATTTGACATTTCCATTGAACTGAAGTGTCTGGAATCTCTGGGGCTGAGTCATGTCTATACATTAGACACACTGCCCTTTCTCAAAAGACCTTCCTCGATGATACATAGTGTCCTGCATCGGGTTCTTGATAGGGTGTTGAGAAGTTTTAAATGTTTGTTCAAATGATTTAGGTAATGCCCTCGAGCATTAGCAATCTGCAGCATGGACTCATACAGAAATGGAGTGAAATAATCTGTGTAAGACACAAACTTCAGGAACGTTCACCTTAACTAACATCATTTAGATTTTAAAGTTGATTAATCACTTTTAAGGAAATTTCTTATTCACTAAACCATGTGATCCTAACTGAAAACAAAGAAACAATCAAAAATGTAACTTTTAAGTGTCCATCAAGAAGTTTCAGATGTTGCATTTTGATAGAAAAGCCTACTAACTAGTTCTTATTTCTTTGTAGCAGTACATGATATATTTTTATAATTGCTAGCCAAATATATGATGTATTAATTTTTTAATTAAGAACTTATTACATTTTGGCCACATATGTATAGAGTGTAATTTATAAGGTTATCTACTTCATCACCTGTGTCTTGGTAATGGTTGGTTTTAATCTTTATAAGATGCAGTAACTTGCGATACAGATACTAAACTAGTGTGTATTATATGTCGTGGTTTGGAGTAATCATGAAAATAATTTCTGTTATGTGTCTTGAAATATGATTGACAGCATATTTCTCTATTTTCATTTCCATTTTATTATAATTTTAATAATTTTTTATATTAAAAAGAAAGTTATCACCACAGAGAAACCTGGTGGTTATTATCCAGCAAGACGACTCTCATGACTAGAACATTATCTTTTAGTAATGAAGCATAATGTAGTCCATGTTCTTCAAAACACAAAAACCCTTTTTTCACAGAAACACAGCGGAAGGACTATCCAGCATAAAGGCCTAAATCTTATCACCTCATCCGGCTGTGTGGTATATAGCCTAATATGGTCCTTAAGTTTGCCTGCTTTGGAGACTGGAGTGATATGACACTTCATAAGTTTCACACCGTATTACACATTTATTTCACAAATGCAGTATATACAACTGGTTACAGTTAGGATGGTTTAGGTAAAACATACGTTTGGGTAAAGACTTGGGGGATTTAGTCAAAGTCATCTTCATTGAGCTCATTTGAAAAAAAAACAATTCAAGAGCAGGCAGGACTTGAGGATGTTGGCGCCATTTGTGTAATTGTAACAGTTTGAGAATACAGTATCATACTTCAAATACAAGCTAGCCTTATCAAGGTCTTGTTTTGCTAAAGTGCATCAAGAACTGTCTATGCTACAAAGAGGTCTTTTCCCCTATATTTAATTTGATTCTAAATACTAAGTCTGAATGTGGATGTATTAGCAAGAGACCAAATCAACAAAACACTGCAAAGGCAAATTGTATACAACATATTTTCATCAACCCCTCTTGAAAATGTAACACAGGAGACAGAATATTTCTCTTAAGCTTTTATTAATATTTAAGGTAGCTTTTTTTTAAGGATGTCCATTGTTATACACAGAAAAATTAGCCACACAAGTAAATTTGATTGTATTCTCTTTACCTTTAATCTTTTTTTAAAATTGTTAATTATATGGTTCTCCCATATCAGCGCTAATGCTAAAAAAGTTACACAAGAACAATCACACGGTTAACTAACTTGTGAGCACATCGGGACGGTAAACTAACACTTCACAGAGATAAAACCCAAAAAAATGAAATTTCAAAACATAAAAGGGGAAAGAGAAATATGATGGAACTTAAGAGACAAACAAAAGACAAAATGGACAAGCATTTACAATCACACAGCCCGGCTCATCTCTCCACAAAGAAGTACCACTCTGTTTTCCTATTTGGCAATTTTATTTTCTAGGCTCCTCCTATTATCTCTTATTTGGTAGACGTCCCCATGCCTGACTGAGTATAATTTATATCTGGAAGGAGGCAAACATTTACATTCTGAACTTCAGCCCTCTGGACAGATCACATTTTGCATTTATACCCTATAGCATCTAAACATCAAGATTTGTGTTTGCCTGATTAAACGTAAACAAAAAGCTGTTCAGCGGTTCAAAGGCTGGCTGTGAATTGCACTATGAGATGGGCCAGAGGGGAAGTGACTTAAAACAGATTATTGTCGTCATCACCACCACCATAATTAATATCTAGCCAAGTAGCAGTCTATTTAAAGACCAAATCTGAGGCCCTCCACCGACTTTCCTGTTGCTGTCATCAAAACCGTCGCTCCATCTCGACTTCAAACAGGTTTGGGAAAGGAGCACTAGAAAGCACGTAACATACAGGCAACCAACTGACTCAGAAATTATACTTCGTATTTTAAAAAAAAAAGTAAAATCTGATGAAATGCTGCACAGGTGCGTGCCCACAAGTGGCACACTTACAAATGCACATTAGCTCCAAGGATATCACATTGGGTCCAATTACGGCTCCTTAAAAAGTACGGTCAGTCCAAACACGTCAGAGGGCAGTGGCAAGCTTAGTTTTGATCTGCTGCTGAAATATTAACCATTTCTAATAAGTGAGCCACTATAAGTGATGCCAAAAGGCACAAATTCAGCTCAGAGCATTTCTGATGACAGAATTTTAACAAAAAGGTATTTTCGGGCTCTTCGCTTTGGCAGTAAGAATGCTTATTGGCTGCAATACCCAATTGGTTGTTTCAAGGTGTAGATATTGGCTGATTATTTTTCTACTCTTGCAACTACAGGAGGCAAAATCTTTTGCCTCTTATGACTTAGGCTGTACTAAAAGGTACAGCCCAGGTGGCAACAATTGTATACCATTCTTTGTGTCAAGTGTTGGCAGTGAAGGGGCTGGTTCATTGTCATTAATAAGTCACAGGGGATTTTCGTTGGTCTCTAAACTTTTTTATAGGACCCTGGCCGTCTTTGCTGCATTAATTGTGATTTCCGGGTACAAGCAATTCCATACACCTCACATTTACTTCCTCAGACACACACACATATCGCAACAATCACATGCAAACACAATTCTCCTGACCCCATTGCTTGAATAAAGCCACTTGTTGAGCGTGTGTTTATTTGACCTCACATTGCGCAGAAACTCAAGTATGGTAGCTGGGTTTGTTAGGAGGTATCCATGCACGGGCAAGGCTAAGAGCTTACAACCCAGGTGATAAACACAGTGATCCCTTCTGGTTACGCCCAACACTGAAATGCAATATCCATGCTAGCATGCTACTTTATGATGTAATGCTCCCTGTTGAGTAGCACACAAGGGTGGATATTGGGACACGCAGTGCGAGACAGCCAGCAATATTGGAAGCACTATTCAGTGTGCGACTAGTGTTAACCATAGGGTGCTAGGCTAGCTAGCTAAAGCGCACAAACACCCTCAGTCTCACCTATGCTTACCTGCAGGCTGCCATGTTTGCTAAACACTCCAAGCTAACAAAACAGCACACATCCAAGTCCACACAACTCATTAGCAAAATATAAAAGAAAAATATTATCCAGTCAGTATTCACATGGGCTGATACCAGGCATGCAACTTCCAAACAGTCCAGAAGAAGAAAAAAACAAAACAAAAGAAGCTTCCTGCCGACCTTCTCAAATCCAATGGGAAAACAAAACAGTCACTTAGAGACGGGGTAAATGGAAGACATAAACAACCTGGCGACATCGAAGAGAAATTAGTCACTAAATGGCTCTCATAGGCTGTTGCCACATGATGGGTCAACCAGTCAGCAGCTTCAGTCCCTTGCTGAGGCAGGTTACAAATAAGATAATACAATCAGATTAAAGAAATAAAATAACAATAAAAGTATTTTTTTTAAAAATCAAATGAAAAGAAATAAAAATGACAATAAAAACTAGCTTAAAAAGTAGTAGACACACATTGTTATAAGTATCTCTGCTATAGTATGTTTTTTTTTTAATCTATGTCATTTTAAAGTCATTGCGTAATAAAGACGTGTTACAGGTTTTTTTCTATTTATTATCATCATCATCAGCTTGAATATCACCATCAACAATACCGTTTTCTGAATTCTTACTATTGGTTAACGCAAGGTGCGGTCTCTATAGGCCTCCTATCTAAATTAAAGGGCTCTATTGGCTGACAGAGGTTCCAATAGAGGGAAGGAGGGAGGACTGGCGGCCATTCTTTCCTCACATCCCCCCCTTTTTTTTATTAATCTCTTCTAGCCTTTAAGCCACTTTGTTTTCACCTGGAAGGGGGACGTGAGGAGAGGGACTGGACTTTGTATGTGGTGCAAAATGTGGAGGTTTTTATCTTCCTCTTTCTCCCTCCTTCTCCCTGTCTATTCCTATTCTGTTCTTGTGGGGAATGATGGGAGTTGTTTAGTGACAAATAAGTAACCCATTCGTCTCGTTCCTGCATTATTGTCATGCTTCATCTTTCCCTTCCTCATGTCTCTGCCCTCTTCTCTTTCTCACTCTCACACTATCTATCATTTTTTTTCCTTCAGCAAGACACCTCCATTGTTTGGGAGGGGCTGGGCGGCATCTGGCCACCCTGCGAGCCCTGGGACAGGGTGCGGGAGCGAGAGCGGGACCCATCCATGGAGTAGGAGGACGAGAGGGAGGTGGTGCGAGAGCGGGACAGGCGGGTCATGCAAGATGAAGCCACTGTGGATAAATGGATAGAAAGATGTGGATAGACAAATTAGAAATCAATGCAAACACTATGCAACATCTAAAATGATAAGGCAGGTAGTTTTTTAACATTAATGGAGCTCTAAAACACATATGGATTAAGCTATATCAGGCTTTGGCTACACAGACAATACTTGCTATTAGGATCAATTAATTGTTAGTTTTATTATTTTCATGGGACTTGATAAGGCTGGTGATACACAAAATGTTTTTTTTGAGCAAGACTGCACACAACCAGGAAGAATAGGTGGTTTAACATATACTATGCATGTGATGAAATCCTACAATGGAGCACTTTGGCAATTATTACCTTATGTATCACTGTATGTGTAATATGTACGTAAATTCTTTTACTGGATGAAGTGAACTTACTGTAGCCCATTCCCTGGATGAAATACTTGAACGCCTCAGTCAGTTTAGCAGGCTGCAAAAACATTGAAAAGAAATGGTGTTTTATATTCCATCTATACAATTACTCATTTTTACATTAGCTTTAACATCCATGTTGTAAATATCAGAATCAGAAACACTTTATTGTATACTGAATATTACAACAGGGGATATTGCACATTAAATAATATTTAAAAAATGTTTTTTGTTACCTGGGTCAGCTGAGGGAGACCACCAGCATCAGCCATCTGTGGAGGAGGCAGACAGGAAGTGTGTATGAGTGAATGACAAAATTAAGTGAGGAAGAACGGAGAAACATTGAAAACAGAAGACACAAGGGTAGTTACCTTAAGAAATGAGGTTGTTGTGGGGTCCATTTTGCTGTTGCACTCCACCTAGTGGTTCACAGGAGGAAAAACACTAAATTTCTGCCATCACAACAAGACACGCAGACATCTGAATGTGTTTATGAATCAGAAAATATAAGAACAGTTGAAACATGCATATAAACTTTTAAATTCCCATTAAGAGACATTGTAGAACTAAAATAAATAAATAAGCTGAAACTTACAGCAGCGTCCTCATATGGAGCCTGGTCACCCACCACCAACATTACTGGACACCTGAGGTTGACAAAATAGAGATTAGAATTGGATTAGGGTGGGTTTTGGGAGATTTTATATACATATGGACATAAGTAATACTTACTTGAAGCTGCTGTTGCGGT